TTAGATTTGTGTTCCTCTGCGTTTGTTTTGGAGGTTGTGTCTTAGACTCAGTAAATTTCGATTTTTTTTTATTTATTTATTTATTTATTTTTTTTATGATGAATGCTCTCATTCTCGACATCGCTAATAATGCTACTTCTACAAGCGAGGCTGGTTGTACTAATTGTCCAGGTTTCAATTGCTGTAGTGGTCCTCGAGTTAATAAATAAGAGGAATAGAAATATTTTACGTGGACATGAAGATGATGATGATGATAATGATTATTATCATCCATCCATTTTCCAATCCGCTTATCCTCACAAGGGTCGCGGGGTGTGCTAGGGACATTATTATGATGAAGATGATGATGATGATGATTATTATTATTATCATCCATCCATCCATTTTCTGATCCGCTTTATCCTCACAAGGGTCGCGGGGCATGCTGGAGCTTATCTCAGCTGTCTTCGAGCAGTAGGGAGGGGACACCCTGAACCGGTTGCCAGCCAATTGCAGGGCACAGATAGATTAAACAACCATCCGTGCTCACACTCACACCTACGGACAATTTGGAGTGTTCCATTAACCTGCAACGCATGTTTTTGGATATATATATATATTTTCATTTAAAATTATCTTCTATACCGTGTGTCCTCATTACGTTTGTGAGTGGGAGCCAATCCCAACAGACATCAGATTGATGCTCTAAATATGAAATCTTGCAAAATTTAATCCGGGTTGGGGCGAGGGCCCATTCCCCAGATCCCCCGAGAAGTGCAGTTTTGTTGTTGTATTAAATTGTATGGGATACTAAAGAAAGGAAACTTGGCAATAAAAGGTGTAAAGTAAAGAAATAAAAGGTTAGAGCCGAAAAAAAACAAAACAAAAAAAAAAAGAAAACTTGTTTCATCAGCAGAAAGCTATAAAATATATATATCTTTTCATTAAAAATCATCTTCTGTACCGTGTGTCATCATTACGTTTGTGAGTGGGAGCCAATCCCAACAGATTGGCCTCTCTGGGTCACACGTGCATCCACACAGGCATATTAATCATCCCGATTAAAAATAATGGGCAGAAAAATTGCATCTTCACTTTTTTATAAATGTTTGTCATCGCAGCACCCGTGCAGGAGAGAGAATTACGTGCCTGAAATCAGATGGTTCACCCTAGTCTGTCCTCCCCCTACGCCCCCCCCCCCCAAAAAAAAAAGAAAAATCCACACTCAATGCAAACTAATATCCGGTATCTACAAATTGGTGTCACTGTATGAAACGCAGAGTGTGCCTCCCAGTTTGCACCGCGTGCGCACACACACACACACACACACACACACACACACACACACACACACACACACACACACACGCACACGCACACAAGTACTTGTTAATGGAGAAGTCTTCTAATTAGAGAGCAGACTCTTTGCAGTCGCAAGCTACCATTAATGCACACTGTGCCTGTTGATGCATCCATCCCACCATAAGCGCTCTTATTTAACATTCAGCGCAGGAGGTTGCGCGGCTCACCAGGGGCTGCTGTGGTCGTGATAAACAAGGGCCACTGGGGTTAAAAACAACACTAAAAGACTGTAGCACATGCTGTGTTAGTGAGTGATTCATCCGTTTCCCCGGAGGACGTTAGATTTGTGTTCCTCTGCGTTTGTTTTGGAGGTTGTGTCTTAGCCTCAGTAAATTTAGATTTTTTTTTTTTTTTATTATGATGAATGCTCTCATTCTCGACATCGCTAATAATGCTACTTCTACAAGCGAGGCTGGTTGTACTAATTGTCCAGGTTTCAATTGCTGTAGTGGTCCTCGAGTTAATAAATAAGAGGAATAGAAATATTTTACATGTGTCATCTGTCATATTAGGAATTGGAGTAATTAACCCTTCCATGCACCCTTGTAACCTGATAACATGATATGCTGTATGCTGTAGTAACCGCTGTCCCTGAAGGGGTTAATTTAAGTTCAGGTAAGATCAACAATAAGACAAATTAGCTCCTCTTGTACATTTTGGTTTGAATGGAAATCATCATTGGGAGTCAGGAAATTGAGAAGAACCATTGTTCTTTGTAAACTGGAAAGGTTTTCGTTGGCAAGAACCTTGCGAGAACGTTTTGAAATCTTCAAATGTTCCGAATTTGAATTTGAGAAGTAATAAAAATGTGTATGTTTACCTGGCGACTGTTTTCAGGGCAAATGGTAACGGAAACTATTTTTAGAAACATTTCTCTTCAGACTTATTTCCTGTGTTTACAGCCAAACACATTAAAATATATATATATATTTTCATTTAAAATTATCTTCTATACCGTGTGTCCTCATTACGTTTGTGAGTGGGAGCCAATCCCAACAGACTTTTCCAGGCCACGTGAACCCTGAACTGGCTCCTCCGTGCGCGTGTGAGGGCATCCATCTTCATTGACTGATTAGGTTGAGGCAGAAACGGACGACTGAGAGACGGCTGCTCAATACAACTGACAAGAATTAGTCCAGATGTGTAGACCAAAGCCAGGAAAGTTGAATAATGACAGAGCGGGCCTTTACAAGGCAAGCAAATTCCAAGGTGAGGCAAAAGGTGAATCTATGAAAAGAGGGTGGGTACATGAGGGAAAAAACACCTCAATGTAAAATCGAAAGGTCAGTAAAAACTTGTATCGCCACGATCACAAACGTTATTTCGTAGATTTTCCCACGAGTCTGATCGAGTGGATTAAAATGTGTTGACTGTGATGTCATCATTAGCGCGTTGCGTCAATGATGTCATTGATCAAATGCGCAAAATAGGACATTGCAGCAAATACAACCTTGTTCACATTGCGCTTCCATGCCTTTGATCAGCCAATCACAAGGTAATTGCATAAGTGTTTTTGTTTGTTTTTTTTTTGTTTTGTTTTGTTTTGTGTTTGTTTGACTGGTAAAAACCTGGGTGGCCCAGTGGTCAACTAGTTAGCTTGTCGACCTCACAGTGAAGAAGTGCAGGATACGATTCAGGCTATGGCCTTCCTGTGTGGCGTTTGCATGTTCTTCCCGTGCCTACGTGGGTTTTCTCCGGGTATTCCGGTTTCCTCCCACATTCCAAAAACATGCATTGCAGGCTGATTGAACACTCTAAATTGTCCCTTGGTGTGAATGTGAGCGCGGATGGTTGTTTGTCTCTGTGTGCCTTGCGATTGGCTGACAACTGATTCAGGGTGTCCCCTGCCTACTGCCTGAAGACGGCTGGGATAGGCTCCAGCATACCCACACCGCTCGTGAGGAGAAGTGGTTCGGGTAATGGATGAATGGTTGGATTGATGGTTAAAACCTCCCCAAATCTTTTTATTTATGTAAAAAAAAAAAAAAAAAGGAGCTAGCTTCAAACTAGCAATGTGTGTTACTTATTTCATTTTCACATTTTTTGAATGATTGTCACATTAGGAAAAAAAAAAACAAGTAGTTTTTGGGGCATTAACACAGGATCCATTCTAATAAACATCAGGAAAACAAAAGAGGTCAATTTTGGCACCAATATATTGGAGCCTGGGGGTGCGAGCTTTTGTAAACAAACACAAAAAGAACATTAAAAAAAAAAAAAATTATGTTCCCCGTTGCCATCTAACAGCTGTCTTTCAAAACAAGAAATGTGAGAATGTCACGTTGGAAACAACAGCGGTGGAAGATGGGGCCGTGTGTGTGTGTGTGTGTGTGTGTGTGTGTGTGTGTGTGTGTGTGTGTGTGTGTGTGTGTGCGTGCTGCTGTGCTTGACAATGCATCTCCAGCGAACGTTCATTATTGATTCAGCTGAGACACATGACTCCCAAAACTGCATTTCTCAACCCAAATATACTCGGGTTAGATCGATACAAGAGAAGACAAACCGTCGGTGTGAACAGTTCTCTCCTGGCATGCGTATTCCAGCGTTTTCAGGCGCAACTCTGTGATTAGGAATTGTTTTGACAACCGTGTCGCCTGTCGGGTGAAACGTTTTCCAAGATGCAAAGAAACAAAACAAACCGTTGGTGTGAACAGTTCTCTCCTGGTATGCGTATTCCAGCGTTTTCAGGTGCAACTCTGTGATTAGGGAATTGTTTTGACAACCGTGTCGCCTGTAGGGTGAAACGTTTTCCAAGATGCAAAGAAACAAAACTGCTTTTTTTTTTGACTACTTTGTCTTACCGTTTCATTCACTGCAGAGGCAAATAGATAAAAATAAATACGGAGTTACGTTTTCCAAGATGCAAAGAAACAAAACTGCTTTTTTTTTTTTTTTTACTACGTTGCTCGTGTCTTACCGTTTCATTCGCCGCAGAGGCAAATAGATAAAAATAAATACGGAGTTACCAAAATCAGCTGACGAAAAAGACATCACATGCACACAGTCAGCTCGGTTGCACTCTAGCTGTCCTGCAACCCTGAACAGCAGAAGTGGTCGAAAATAACTGAACGAATGCATGTCTGGGAGATTTTACCCGAACAAGATCAAGCTAATCGAGGAGCAAATAATTTTTCTGTAAAATAAATAACGTACTCAGGAGCTTGCTGCAGCTTGAACGTAAGACGGCGAATGCGTGCAAAGGAGCGATTTTTGGATTTGTCAACTTTTCGGATGAACGATGGCTAAAATGCGGGTGTCCCGTCTGTCATGAGCAACATTTTGCGACTGTTATCGTCACGTGGTCACGAACATCGGCGAATCAAAAAAATCTTTGGGGACACTTCTTACGGCCGTTTACAAATACAAAACGCTTGCCACTGTTAGCGAAACAAAGCATTCGCCGAGTTTCCTCGCCACAAGTAAAAACTGTTTGCAACCTTTTACGACCCCTCACGAAACCCCAAATTTGTTCCCCTGGCGAGCATCCGCGGGCTTAAACGTCGCCGGAGTTTGCGCGGCCCAAGGACGTCATTCAACGTGACTCTGAAACTTAGCGGCGTTGATTGTGTTATGAGAAATTAGGAGTACATCAGCGTTTAATGTGCAACACCCCCACACCCACCCCGTGCTAATTACGATCCATTTTGAAAAGGGCTAAAATTGGCAGATAAAATTGGCCGACCGATGAATCGGTCGCGCCCTAATAATCATCCCTCGGCACGATAACATCCTGAATCTGATCTGATTAGAAAGTGCAGGTGTTGCTTACTAAGTGACCATTTAGCGTAGTTGTCAAGGAGATACCTGCAAGGAATGGAGAAAAATGAGAGCTTCTCGAAGCCGCTCGTTCAAACCGGTGGGAGGCTCCAATACCGCTGTATACAAAAACGAAGCCTGCTTCCATATATCGAATACCAGCGTTGCACGCGGCAATTAGTCAGGCCTTGGTTCCCCACGCAATCCCCACCTCCCTTTGCTCTTTCCCCACCGCCTATTCATCACGTTGATGGCTCACTCGGTGCTCTTCTAATGTTTGACTGAATCCGTTGCATCCACTGTCACAATCTGAAAAGGGGCTGTCTTGCCCGCGGCGTGATTTCCTGTTTTTAGTAATTAGCTGAAAGACAAGCATGGAAAAACAGTCTGTTTTTATTTCCCCCGGTGCAATATTTTGACGGAGTCAGATGGCGATGCAAGTTATGAGGACTTTGTAATCCCCTTAATTTCTCTTTACGGCTGTCCTTGGTCTGAGAACGGCTGTGTGTGATTGTGTTTGTGTGTGTGTGTGTGTGTGTCTGTGCGTGTACTGATAGCGGCCTCTTATCGCAAATCTTTCCATTTTATTCCCGATCTGCATGCCATTCATTCCTACCTTTTCCTTTATCTCCTTGGACAGAATAAGATTTGTCCTGGTGTAAGCTTAAAGGTCACATGCATGGTGTCAAGCCAAATCCTGCAGGGCACAAAATGTTATCCGCTCAGGGTGAAGCCCCCTTTGTAAGCCTCATTTGTCCAGTTTTACGAAAATGCCAAATATTCTTTGTTGCGTTGAAAGATTTGGCCAGATATTTCGGTTTCTGTCCTCGAGCTCGCTCAAGACCAGACGATAGAATTTTGGGTCCGTGATGGTCCAAAGAAAACAAAAAAAAAAAAAACATGACCAGTCTGTCAAATAATACGGATTCAGTTTCCTGATAACATCTAACTCTTGGGGTGTATGCATGTATTTACATTTATTTGTGACATTACAGTGTCATAAATTGTCAAATGGTAAAGGTTCAATTTATTTTGGGACATGAGACCCGGGATGCTCATTCCCATTTTGAACTGGGAAATCTTTCCCTGAATGTTCTGGATTCCTGTTTACATGTCAGTGTTGCACTCAGTCCAGTGTTGATCGGAGTTGTGCTGTAATTACCTGAATGTACAATCACCTCAAAAAGTATTGGAACAGTAAGACCATCCCCAAAACTTTTTTTCCGCCCCATGACGTGTTTGTACCACAGTTGTGTAATTTATATTTAAAAATAAATAAATAAATAAAATTCACGTGTGCAAAATTTCTGTTGCATGTGACCAATGGGCGATGATGTGTTTTGATGCCAGGTGTCAAAAATGTCCTTTAAAATTCGTCATTTTAGGGCTATGGCAAATTTTATTACAAGTAGACTTGATTTTAGACTCGCAAAAAGCAGGTCTAACCCGCGGCGCAGGTGATACAATGTGATTTTGCTACATTTCATCGAGGCGAAGAGAGACAAATGTTAATTATAATTTCGCTGTTAACTTTTGCTTTCCCTAATATTTTATGAAGAGCAGTACAACTGGTGTTTATTGCAAGCTATTCAGTACCCATTGTAAGATTTTGAGATTGCCGGCTACTTACTCATCCAAAGCTCGACACTTTTTGAAAATCATCTGATCTCCACACGCTGACCTTCTCCTTTCCACGTTTCATCATCTTGACAGGTTGATGACCTCAAGGCCAAGCTAGCAGCCCAAGAAGTCGAGCTCAAGCAGAAGAACGAGGATGCCGACAAGCTGATCCAGGCAAGAACATTTGTGTTTGCACACCGACTCAACCTCACAGATAAATGTTGATATTTCCCCCATTTTCAGAAGCTTTTGTGCTATATAGCTGGTTATATTTGTCCTGAGATATTTTGCACTCACCCCAATACCAAGAGGGTAAAATGGCATTTTGCTTGCCTGTGGGCAAAGAGATGGACAGCACATTGCGCCCACCAATTATTTGCAACTTTTTTACAATTAGTTCTCAAAAATGTTCTTCACAATATGTTCTATGCAGCCCCACTCGTCCAAACACAGTTTTCTGATTAATTTTGAATTTGTGGAATATAAATGAAGTGGCAAAATCCACTCATTGTTATCGATCTCAGAGGGCGGCCATTTTGTCAATGTCGACTGAAAATGACATCACAGTGCCTGTCTCAGGACTCAAATAATGACCATTCATAACCTGCGCACTTCCTAACCGGATGCCACTGTCCGGCAAATATCGTCAACAATAAAAAAGTAGTGTTTTAAAAAAGTTTTGTGTTCAGTTGTTCGAAAGACTTAAAAACTACACGAAATGTATTTGTTTTGTGAACTGTATTCTAATTAGCATCTTTGCAAATTTTTTTTAATGAATACACATAAAAATACTTTTTTTTTAACGGTCAGCTTTGTGTTATACCGTACTTTGTTTTTGTCATGTTATAGTTTCACTATGTGCGGATTATTTTACAGATAATGTTTGAAATCTGAAACCCCACAAACAGAACACATGAAAAACTGTGCCCAAACCCCTCCACCCAAAAAAAAAAAAAAAACAAACCCCCTCTCACTCTGCTTACAGATAATGTTTGAAATCTGAAACCCCACAAACAGAACACATGAAAAACTGTGCCCAAACCCCTCCACCCAAAAAAAAAAAAAACGAGCCCCCTCTCACTCTGCTATAATACAATGTGTTGGCCCTCAGGTAGTTGGAGTCGAAACTGAGAAGGTGTCCAAGGAGAAAGCAGTGGCTGACGATGAAGAGAAAAAGGTGGCGGCCATGGCTGTTGTGGTCCGTGGCAAACAAAAAGACTGTGAAGAGGACTTGGCCATGGCTGAACCAGCTCTCATCGCTGCGCAGGAAGCACTCAACACTCTTAATAAAGTACGTCACACTCCTTTAATGGTGCACTTCTCACACATGTGCATGATTTTGTTTTGTTTTGTTTTTCGTGTTCGCTTTTAGTTGAGTCTACACAGGTAGGATCCAGACAGATTTCAGTGGTGTGACTAGTATGAGACAACGATTGACTAAGGGGTGGCAAGGTTAGCTTGGTTTATGCTTAACGCATCCGCACGGCCCAGTTTTCCACACCGCATGCCGACAAAAATTTCAAACTTTGTGGACGGTCCCAAGCAGAAAAATATGACTGAAAGGGACGAGCTCCTACCGACGTGTTCCTGGTACGCCATAAATGCCCACCCTAGTATGGGACAATATCAGCTAACAAGCCGCAAGACTTCTGCCGGCCTGATTCCGCACAGTGTCCAAATTTCGATTGAATAAGGACCGACTTTAACAATAAATAAATAAAAATCCAGACATGAGAGTATACTTTGTATTTGTTGTGTTGTAAAAATGTATTTTCCCTCTCCCAATGTCAACATTATGTCAATATATGTGGTTTAATCTATTTAATAATAAAAAAAGGAAGCGTCACAAAAATATTTAAATGTCATCAAAATGAATTGAGATTCAGCAAATAAATTATGCATCCACCGTATTTATTGAAAAGTATCTGTGTCAATATCAACGATACTGGATGTGTATTCAAGCGGTTGGTATCAACTCCATATCAAGATTGAATCGATAATGACGCGATGAGGTCGATGTTCCTGCTTGTGAGCGTGAATGTGTTGAGCAAGTTTCTGGATTGTTGTGCATTTTATTTCATGGAACCTTGACTGCGGATGGTATGCCAAACAAACGTTTCCTCAGGAGTGTACAACTGTATGCTAAGATGTGAAAGAAAAGTTTCCCCTGTTCATGAAAGGAAGTTTGAACACGACACGCACACGACTCAACAATATCCACACATTCTGAGATCGCTGGTGGATCTGAATGTATTTCGGGATGCTAAGTACGCCGGCGTAACGCAACCGTGCGGAAGCAGCGGTCAGGCGGAACTGATTATCTTCACGACAAAATAACATCCTGAACCTGTCGCTGTGGGGGCTGTCGCCATAAGACACCACATAGCTCCGCCCCCTCTCTGCACAGGCCGATCGGTGGAGATGAAAGACTATTGAATTTTATCCCCGACTAAAATAATGTAGTCTCTATGCTCCACTGGCATTTTAGTTCAGCCCATGAAACCCATATAGGTTTATGTGCCGCCTGTGGGAATTTATAAAACTCCCTTTACATATAAAAGGGTCTTTGTGGTGAAACAACCAGAACAGACAGTTCAATCACTGCTCTCCAAAGCTCTGTAAAATGTCCTAATTTGAATTCTCTGTTGTCTCCTCAAAGTCATTGCAGGTTAATCCCTTCTTTTCTCAACCTTTTACTTTTTTCACATTCCACCCCCCACCCAAAAAAAAACCCCACACCATTCAAACCATTCATGACTCTTTAATTATGCGACGATTCCCTGTATTTTTTTTACCCCTCCTACTTTAGAACAACCTGACAGAGTTAAAGTCATTTGGCTCTCCAGTGGCAGCAGTTACCAATGTCACAGCGGCTGTCATGGTCTTAATGTCGCCTGGCGGCAAAGTCCCGAAGGATCGTAGTTGGAAGGCCGCAAAAGTGATGATGGCAAAAGTGGATACGTTCCTTGATTCCCTCATAAACTTCAACAAGGAAAACATCCCGGAGGCTTGTCTGAAAGCTATTCAGCCTTACTTGCAGGTGAGTGTTTTTTTTTTCTCCTTTGAGCATAGCTAATACTGAATTTGTATTTACAGTTGGAGTGAAGTAGCAGTTGGTGTATAAACAAATCATCATACTTCACCAGCATTCAGTCAAATGAAGCTACCATAATCAATTGATATATTTGTATTTTTTTGGGGGGGGGGGGAATATGCAGCTAGCTTGCTCGTTATAAATAGCATCTTGTAAGTAGTTTTATGACACTGGTTGAAACTATACAGATGATAATGTCACTTTGCTTTGTGCTCTGTAATTTTGGTAAGGCGCTGTTAGCACTGATATGGATTTGAACATGACTCTTCTGAGTTATGTGCATTTTTCCGAGAAAATATTTCTGATGCGAAAATGCTCGGACAATACAGAACATCCATGCAGCCATCCATTTTCCGATCATCTATCACGTGTTAGTGATATATAAGCATTGAAATGAACTAGTTTCTTCTTCAACATTGTATCTATCGCTTCAATTTCCTTGAAGTTAACTGGATATTGGCAATTTAATAGACTTTGGAACGGAGCGCATTAATAAATAATGAAATACTCGTGTCCAATATGGATTGTTTAGCCTTTTTTTTGGGGGGGAGGGGGGCTGTTTAGTTGCAAATTCAGTCACTATTATCAAACCAAAACTGTATCATTCAGTATTTGACTTGTCATCGAGATTAAATTTGTTGAAAGAGTTTAATCAAGCGTGTACGTCTTTAATCCATTCAGGATCCGGCGTTCCAGCCGGAACTGGTTGCCTCAAAGTCGAACGCGGCGGCAGGCCTTTGCTCCTGGGTTCTGAACATAGTCAAGTTCTACAAAGTCTACTGCGAGGTAGAACCCAAGCGCCAGGCCTTGAGGAAAGCCAACGCGGAGCTGGCTGCTGCGCAAGGGAAGCTCGCCACCATCAAAACTAAGATCAATGTAAGACACCAGGCATCGGACACTGGATCGATACTTCCCAGCCAAAGGATATATTAAAGTAAACCCCCACTATTCACGGGTGATATTTCACTTCAACATAGTTCCTTGACACTATTTATGTTGCTTTTAGACAGTGCTTGGTGGCACGGTGTGTTATTTCATGCAAATAGCACAAAATATGCAAATAGGTGAGTTTTTCTTGGTTCAGCAAAACAAGATGCAAATCGGTGAATTTGTGAATAGCGAACCCTGAATTTTGATCAAGTTTCTGTTCTCGGGTTCTGTTCTGCTCTCAGGTGGACATTTTAACAGAGTATGGGATGAAAAAAACATCCTTGTGATACGTATGCATAAATATTCTTGATACGTGAACGTGGCTGAACCCTGTAGTTATATCAAATTGGATTCCACCGAAATGAAACCAAAACAACCCGAGGCAATAAACTGAAGGAACAATTCAGGAGATGAATTATTTTATCACCGTTTGAGTGACAGTTGTTGACACACGAGCTCAGCCAGTAATTCTATACTCCCCAGCAGTTCGTCGATACAAAGCCGGTGCGAGTGCTATTTAGGCTTTTTACTGTTCATTAATCAAAACTCAACCCATCAGCCTAAAGCCCCTATTGATAATAGCAGCTGTAAATAATTGTTTCTCAGCGGCGCTTGACATTCACCACCTCAGAGCGCCGGAGAGCCCCAGCAGAGCGTAAAGCTCTGGGCGGCCCCGGGATGCTGCAGCGGTGTCTGCTCGCTCGCGTCAAATCCTGCAGAGTTTCCACTGACGATTGTTAATAAGATCCAGCGTGACTTCTGTTTGTCATTTCTCCCCCCAACCCCCGCCACACACACACACACACCCCGTCAGATCATTTGGGTTAAAAAATGAGGAACAGGGGGAATACGCAATCCTCAAACTAATCTCCTGAACCAGTGTGCCTACGCCGAATAATCCTGTTTGTCCTTGCGCTAATTGCTTCCACGTGACAAAATAAATCCATTGCCGCCCCGACTTTTCGCTCGCTCCATACTTTGTGTCACTCACAGACGACGGTGAGCTATTTGTCTCTGTATGCCTCATGTTGTGCTCGGAACAATTGACAAGAGTTGTCTTTGTGTGTGCGTGTGCGTGCGTGTTTGATGGTATCCCAGCACCTTAATGAGAACCTGGCCAAGCTCACAGCAAAGTTTGAGAAAGCCACCGCAGACAAACTGAAGTGCCAACAGGAAGCAGAATCGACCGCGCACACTATTTCCCTGGCAAACCGCCTGGTGAGCATCTCCGTTTTGCTCGATGCATTCGTCCGACACAGCTCTGCACAATCAGGGATGCAAATGGACTCAGTCAGTCAGTCAGCGCGGATGCGGGCAAAGTGACAGCCGAACGTAGCGCGGTCCCCATTTGCACTCAGCGGAATAGTTTGCTAGTTGGGGATCAGTCCCGATTGAAGTTCAACATTTATTGCTGCACATAATAAAAATAAGAATAAGAAAACCTTTATTCGTCTCACAATGGAGAAATTCCCATTTTACAGCAGCAAAGTTATGAAAGGAAGAAATTAGAAGAACAAAAAGTAGAGGAGCTGCTGTCAAGGCAGCCACTCTGGCGGAGCCATCTTGAAGTCATAATAACATCATAACAAAAGAATACAACTAGCTAGCTAAGTTTTGAAAGCAAACAAAATGACATTCAGAATGAGAGTCTTCTTGAGGATTAGGCTTTGTTTATGGTGTTGCTTCTTTTTTCAAATTTGTCAGCAGGTGTTGCGCAGTTTCAATATGGTGTGATTTGGAACGACACTGGGTTGTTCCAAATCAGGGTTTAGCCATGTGGGGTTAGAGCACATGGGGACATGACACAAGGCAGACATTTGTGGAGCCTAAATACACAACAAGAATCACAGTAGTTACATGCGATCACACTTTTTTTTTTTTTTTAAATATGATGCCATTCCAACACTGTATTAATCCTTATGCAGATAGTCGGTACGTTTGTGCTGTCTCCTTCTCAAATGCAAATCCATAGGTTTAGTAACTGGGTTGTTCCAAATCAGGGTTTAGCCATGTGGGGTTAGAGCACATGGGGACATGACACAAGGCACACAGTTGTGAAGCCTAAATACACAACAGGAGTCACAGTAGTTACATGCAATCACACTTTTTTTATTTATTTTTTTATTTTTTATATGATGCCATTCTGACACTGTATTAATCCTTATGCAGATAGTTGGTCCGTTTATGCTGTCTCCTTCTCAAATGCAAATCCATAGGTTTAGTAGCTCTCTCACTCACATATGCATAATGTGTAATTCTGCTGACCGGAACAAAACAAACAAGCGGACTGTTGACGCCGTTAATCTAAATTATTATTTGGTAGCAGAATGCCTGACAGCTGCAATAATAGAGAGATTTTTTTTTTCCTTCTTGTCTTTCAGTCAGTCGCAAATATCAATGCAAATGTTGCCAGCATGCTGAAGTGTGCAGTGTTTTTGTGATGTATGCTTAGAGAAGTTACTGCGGCGCCCAAGGGCGGTGTCACTTAAGTTTGGAAAAGCTCGGATATTAAGTTGAATATTGTTGATCCCTGGAGGAGAACGGCATCGCTGCCGCAGTAAAGAGTAAAGGTGTTGTTACATGAGCAGAGAGGCAGTAAAGGATATAACAGCCCATTAAAAGTGGACCTGAAGTGTTTGCGAGGATATTTTCTTACGTCGTTCGAGACCGCAGATTAATTTATGTCAGAAATGATGGGAAACCCTTTGGGAATATCGTGACGGTGCGTCTTGTTTTGAAGGTGGGAGGTCTGGCGTCAGAGAACGTACGCTGGGCGGACGCTATTGAAAGTTTCAAAAAACAGGAAAAGACGCTTTGCGGAGATGTCCTCCTGATCACCGCCTTCGTCTCCTACCTGGGTTACTTCACCAAACACTACAGGTTACAGCTCATGGCTGAAACCTGGAAGCCTTACCTTAGTCAGCTGACGGTGGGTAGCTTTTATTTGTTTGATTGCTTACTGTCAATATCCATGAACTTCCATCACATTTTTACAAAAAAACAAACAAACAAACAAAAAAATACGTTTTGAAATGACTCAACTAACCCAAGTGTCATTCTGACTGTCAGACCGTATCAAAATCATTTTTTGTTGCCGGCCACATTGTAGTTGTCATTTCCCTTGGAGGGCCATTATGACTGTGAAACCAGATCAAGAAGTCAAGAATAATAGTTTCTTCAACTATTTAAGTGACTGTAAATGAGGGGTTTGATAACAAGAAAATACTGACAACAGCTCTCATTTATTACATATGATCATTTTAAATTTTGGTACGGATTTTAGGAAGCATCATCCATGTTGACATGCTTTGACATGCTTTCGCGGGCCACATAAAAGGCTGTGGCGGGCTAGATTAGGCCCCCGGGCCTTGAGTTTGGCACCTGTGTTGTAGATAGCTACAATGCACACATATCATTTGCCACGACATTTTGACTGGCGGTTCCCTGAAACTGGATTTGAATTGGGCTTAAAAACGTGTTTACTGACTATGACACAAAAATAGCCAGGCTATTTCACTTGATAGCCAGGTCACATACACAACGGTGATGTTGACGCATGTCACACTACCCTCTCCTTTCAGGAGTGGGCGCATCACCCACTCAAGTGGACAATTTCAATCATGCTCGTGGAGTACCCTATTCACCTCCAGCTCTATTGCTCGGGGATCGCCAAGCCATAGTTAGCCTCACAGCTAACAATCCCACTTCTGACGCCATTTGGCAGACACACAGCCACACATCACTATAACAACAACAATAACATATAAATATAATGAGCATGAAGCTATCGATAAGTCTCAAATATTTGAACATATTGAAGTTGTTTTTTTTCTTACTGCAGTACATTCACCTTTTCCAGTAATGCTCTATATATCTGGTAATATTTTCCAAGGATCCCATACCAGTAACACCTGGATTGGACCCATTAACCATGCTCACGGATGATGCTGACATTGCCACATGGCAGAATGAGGGACTACCAGCAGACAGGATGTCGACTGAGAATGCCACCATTCTTACTTCCTGTCAGCGCTGGCCCCTCATGGTGGACCCTCAGCTGCAGGGCATCAAGTGGATTAAGACCAAATACGGTGAACGTCTGCACGTCACCCGCATTGGGCAGAGAGGGTAAGTTGTTGTCTACTCCAGTGTTTCCCAAGCTTTATTGAAACAAGGTACATATTTTCCATCGGGAAATATGTCACAACACACCACTTAGCAAAATGATTCATAAAAAATGTATGCATGGGTTACCGTATTTTTTGCACTATAAGGCACTTCGGATGATAATTAGCACCTTCAATGAATGGCCTATGTTAAAACTGTTTTCATATACAGGTTATACTACATTATAATGCCCATAGAGAAGCTACAATAGTGGATGCGGTTGCACTGTGCATCCACTAGATGGAGCTATGACAGAGAGGGTAAGTTTTTGTCGACTCCAGTGTTTCCCAAGCTTTATTGAAGCAAGGTACAGATTTTCCATCAGGAAATATGTCACAACACACCACTTAGCAAAATGATTCATAAAAAATGTATGCATGGGTTACCGTATTTTTTGCACTATAAGGCACTTCGGATTATAATGTGCACCTTCAATGAATGGCCTATTTTAAAACTGTTTTCATATACAGGTTATACTACATTATAATGCGCATAGAGAAGTGGATGTGGTTGCACTGTGCATCCACTAGATGGAGCTATGCTAAAGGGAATACAATACAATACAGCTTTATTTTTACTGAGCCTTCAAACCGATGCAGCTGCAACAAAGCCATTTGAATTGGTCACAAACACGGAAACGAAACATATTAATGCAAATGGCAATGACAAAACAAGAAATGAAAGACAAAAGTTACGAAGACAAGTGTTCCTGCTAATAATCACCACCAGATGGCATTGGAACACACGAACAGGGAAACAACACAGAGGGGAATATAAAAATGCGCTGACACCATACATAAGGCGCAGTGGACTGTCGGGTTTTGGGAAACCTGAATGCTTTTAGGTGCGCCTTATAGTACGGAAAATACATTAACTTTGTACCTGCTGTCATCTAGTGGATGGGCATTCTCTTCTGCTCTGTTGCTATAGGTTGCCAGGATAAATTTGCAATTTTTTTTCATAAAATAGTTTTGGTCCAAATTACGCGGCACACCTGATGATATCTCACGGCACACTAATGTGCCGCGCCACACTAGTTGGGAATGACTGCTCTACTGTAGTGAGGAAGTGTCAGTTTCTTAACAGTTTTACGATTCATTCATTTTAAAAAAGGTACCTGGATGTCATAGAGAGAGCTCTGGCACAGGGCGATGTGGTTCTGATCGAAAATTTGGAAGAATATTTGGATCCTGTTCTTGGACCTCTACTAGGAAGAGAAACCATTAAGAAGGGCAGGTAAGAAAAAATTGAAATACGCATCAAACACTATTTATTAGACTTAAATTCTTAGACTTCAGATATTTGGCATGAAACATTTAACACAGTACCTGCGAATAGGCTCATCAAATGGTCGGAATTCCCACCTGGAACTTATTCGGGGTGTGAATACTGGTTTGGCTGCCGTGGGCATGTCTGATGTTGCTCACTGCGGTCCAAGGAAAGCTCAGGGGGTTTGTGTGACTGCTCAAACAAATGGAAAATATGAGGCACAATTGCTGGAAACCATTTTATATTGCATACTAAACAGCTGTAGTATGAACTGAGGTGTTCGAGAAAGTAAAAAACACTGCCGCAGTTTGGTTTTAACCGCTAGTGCTTCCACTCGCTCGACAGGTAAACGAACTTAAAAGATCCCAAATGGAGATATTTGAATTTTACATCCCAACCTGGTCGTTTATGGATTTGACACTGAGATTATAAAAGGAGTGGTAACATCCTAAATCGAAAAGGGCATCATAGTTAAAGGAAAAAAAAAAAAAAGTACATGCATTTTTTATTTTACTGCTTAGCTGGGGGTTATTCTTTTTTTTCGCCCATCTATTGGGCCGTAAAACACAGAATGTTCATGCCCTATTGTTTAAATGTCAAGGACTTGACCATCTTAAAAGGGGTTGATATGAGATAAGTCACATATCATATCAGGCTTTCAGAAGCTTTCATTCACCAGACCTCTTTTTAATTTTTTTTTTAACAGGTATATAAAGATTGGCGACAAGGAATGCGAGTACAACCCGTGCTTCCGCCTCATTCTACACACCAAACTGGCCAGTCCTCATTACCAACCGGAGCTGCAAGCCCAGTGCACTTTGATAAATTTCACGGTGACAAGGGATGGGTTGGAGGACCAACTGTTGGCAGCCGTGGTTAGCATGGAGAGACCTGACCTGGAGGAGCTGAAGGTGCGGATGCCACAGAGGGCGCAGAAAAAAGCATTGCTTGATCAAACCATCTCACTGCAAAGTGGAGTTCACGACAGAGCGCGAATATATCACCGTCACGTAAGAGTGTGGTGACTTGTAATTGGAACCTGTCACGGTCACCAGGAGCTATCACACAACTAAAAACGTCCCAAAAGGAGCATACTTTAACTCCTTTCGGAACTCAATACTGTGGGCTTTGTGGTGATGAAAAGAAACATTTGACAAGGGGCTCCCGGGGTCCTCCATAAACCAGGAAAAAAAAAAAAAAAGACGCAGCTCTCATGCTTATTATTACCCATCTTTTAACCAATTCATCAACAAAGAAACAGCATATCATAGAAAGCACCACAAAAGGCTACAGGTCCAGTCGCTTTGAATGTTCAGATGGTGCCTTTCATTAGCAGCTCACAAAGTCGTTGATAATTACTGGGACCCTCGCTTAGGGAGATTGCTGCTCCTTTTACTTGATGCTGGTCGATTTTTTAATAATGGGCCATATGTGAGCATAGCTCATTAAGTTAGTGCTGCATAACTTTTGGGTATTTTAGAAGTGTGTGAAGACATCAAAATATGGTGTTTGGTTATTTATATGAGCGTATTTTTTCTGCTGTCAAAAGTAGGGATGAGAATCTCAGACTTATTGACAATACAATTCTATCGCTCACTCGGATGCTGCTGCTTTTGGATGATAACGCTAGCGTTAGCATCGTCAGCCATCGCTAACCGAGTCTTGCTATATCCGACACAAGATCTTTGATCCATAATACGGACGTTGGAATTACAGTTGGTTGGAAATCAGTTTATGACTGAGGGTTTTATTTATTTTTTTCTCTCATGGATACTTTGTTTAACCTGAGGCTATCCAATGCTAGCATGCGCCCATTCGCCCCACCTCCCGTCATTAAAAACAGGGACGCATATAAGACCGACTGTTATATATTCCTACAGCAGTTCCCCGATATACTGCAAATCCCCTCAAATTAAAAATGAAAGTCTGCAATTAAAGCGCATCTTGTTTTCGTCACAATCCAGTGCGGCTAACGGGGCTAACACCAAAAAAAGAGGACACATTGTAGCGCTCGCAGTTGTCGTGTCACATCTTTTACTTGACTTCTTTTATAGTCATACATTTTTGTGTGTACTTCTTCAAAATGAATCATCGGAGGTGTATGTTCCCGTAGATGTAAGTGACGGCCCTTATTAGGCACCCTTTTTTCCAGCCATGAGGATAACACTATGGTTCCACTCAGTTGATAACCAGCTGCACCTTTAAGCTGTCACCGCTGGTGTACTTTTGAGGATTAATGAGCAGCGCACAGTCACGATGTCTCCAGCATATTCCACGGATTGAATGTAAACGCAAGTGATTAAGTGAGAATTCACTTGATCAAAGCTCCAGCACCTAATGATGCCCCACGCCTGTCTCATCAACAAATCTGCTCTTTTCATGTCAGCGTGTTTGAAAGGGATTGGCTGGTGGAGCTCCAGCACCACGGCAATTAGACAAATCGCTGAAGCACTTCCGCGGTTCCTCTGACAAGTGCGGCAACGCTTGTCTTTGCTTAAAACGTTTGCGGCTGGAATGTTGGAGGGATCAAAAGTCAATGTGGAACTCAAGTAATGGGTCGGACAGACGTGGGGACCGTTTACACGATAATTTATTTTATTTTATTTAATTTTTTTAATCTGAGACCCAAACAAAATCTAAGTGCAAATAAACAACAAATATCTCTTTCCCAGCTTCTGAATAACACCTGGGAGGACAAGTAGTTTGTGTCTACGTGTGTGTGCTCTTTCTTTACTTTTGACCACTTGTTGACGATTGTCGTCACTTGCACATGACGGCATTTTTCGCGGGGTCAAGACATTATCGGGGATCATTCATGCAAAGGAAAACACAGTTTTGGTTTTCTTGAGTCATGCTTGTTTTTATTGAACCTCCATATGTTTGCTATATTCCGACCTCGATGCTTTTCACCCGCGGATAAGTCAGCATTTTTAATCAATTTAAAAATGCGTGTGCAGATGTGACAGGGTGCTCAACACTTGACATGCTAAGCAAAAAAATACAGTGAAGAAGCGAGATGTTATTTAATGAAGTTTGTTGAATTAGCATTTATCTGAGAAGGCAAGGCAAAAAAAAAACAAGATATAGAACTCACTCATCATTTTAATTAACATTGAAAGTTGAGAAGGGTGGCAGCGGGGGGTAACCTTTTCTGAAAACAGAATGAAATGCCATTGTGTGCATACGACGAAAAAATGTTACAAATCTGACAGCGAAGTACAAATTGGCTGTACCTGTTTGTAGCCATTTGAATGACTTTGCGCCATTATACCTTTAATGAGGTTTGTGTTGCCACTGAGCCACAAGAGCTCTCATTTAACCTCGCCAAAGATGGGCTAAGGAGCTTATAATGTCAAGTTGGCTTTTCGCAGGGGTCCCGGGGGGGGGCTCATCTAAAACCGTATGCCACAATTACTACTTCTCTTCCTTTCTTATGTGTTGTCCCGCTCCTGAAGATTTTTTTTTTACCCAAGATCGTGTTTGTTAATGAGAGTCGCTATGCTCCACATCCCAAATTACCTTTCACAGGATTGCTCTGTGGCGTTCATTTGCCGAAAAAATGATAGATTGCCTCCAAAATATTTAAGTCCTAATGAGGGTGTTCTGCTGACTGGTTAATTGTTTATTTTTTATTTTTTTTTTGCCTAGCAGGGGGTAATTACAAGTGCCAGTGGACAGCTAATCGCTATACGCAGCCTTGTAATTGGATCTTTTTGGGGAATATTTTGAGAGTGGGTCGCATTTTCCCCTGAGGCGCACACGAGTGTGGGCAATAGAAGGTCACCGGTGACTCACACAGGCCAAATATCCTCCAGTCAAATCTCCTCCGTTCCAAACTGATTTTTGTCCAGCATATTCAAGTCCATCCTTAAAAAGGCCACGCATCACATGCACTTCTGTCAAAGGTGAACTTTTTTTTTTTTTTAGGGCGGGGGTACGATGGAGCGAGTAATAAATCCAAATGCTCACAAGAAGCAGAAGCGAAATTAGTGAATAACGACGGCGCAAAAATAACTTTAACCACCACGGTAGGAAATGCCGTCATAAAGAGAGCAATTAAGCAGCACGATCTGCAAACCTCGCAGCTCACCTGCTGTGATTGAAGATAGGTAATGAATGTCTTTGTCATTAGTATACGCCACGGTAGAGCAGTAGAAGCACCTCATTAATGACTCGGGAGCGAGGTGAAAGTGGGTCACCATGCAAACTTAACATTCGGAAATCGTCACACAAGTGGACCAATAACAGCAAAAGCCCCGCGATGGAGGATGAAGAAGGATGAAGCAAAAAAAAAAAAAAAAAATGTTATCTTTCGCTATTAATTTTGTTCTTGGAAAAGTTGTTGTCGCTCTCTTGTGAAATTGTTTTCGCCTGCAGGAAGACATAAAACAAGTTTGGGATAGAGCTTTATTCCACAGTGAATATGTTGTGGATTAAAAACATTACTGGCCAAACTATTTTTTTTAATGCGCATATTAATTGAATCCATCATGACTCTGTGGCTAATTTAAAAGAAGCAGACTGTATTGCGTATGTGGTCAACCTAAGCCCCCTGACTTACTTTCTTGCTGGAATTGACACATCGAGGTTTAGGTTGCAGACGTTTGATATCAGCATCCAAAGGGAAACTGGCTAATCTGGCCCCGGCCGTTCCCATCTTGCATCTGGATAGCGATTAATAGGAAATTGATTAGCTCTGCCTTTGACACGCCCTTCGGTATGAATGTCATATATTGACGTGAACCTCAAGCATCTGCAACCGCATCCGATAATATTGGACATTTAAAAAAAAAAAAAAAAAAAAGAGCCTGACAACATGCAGCATGATTCGACAATAATACAGTTGATAAAACACGTTTGATGTTTCTGTTTTTTTTTAGTCTGACCTGACCAAACAGCAGAATGGTTTCAAGATCACTCTGAAGACACTGGAGGATAACCTGCTCTCTCGCTTGTCCTCAGCTTCAGGGAACTTCCTGGGTGACACCGCGCTCGTAGAAAACCTGGAGACGACCAAACGCACCGCCGCCGACATTGTGGAAAAAGTGAAGTTGCTTTCAATTTTTTATTTATTTATTTATTGTTTTTTGCTGGGCATGGCAATTTTATGATGACATAACTCGATTTTGATTCCCAAGCATAAATTCACAGACATTTCTACGTGGTTAAAAAACAAACAAACAAAAAAAAAAACAAATGTTGGACTCGTCACTTTTTGTGAGATCGTTTTTGGCCGAAAATGTGAAATTAGAAAAGCTTCCCCGAAATGTTTTTCTTGGTTTTTCAGGTTTGCATAAATTCATCTTGTTATCCTCTAAAACACATGTGTCAAACCCAAGGCCCGGGGGCCAGATCTGGCCCGCCACGTCATTTTATGTGGCCCGCGAAAGCAGATCATGTGTGTCAACTTCTGTGATCATTTCTTAAATGTGTACCGAAATGTCAAATTGTCAGGTGGAATAAATAACATTGAGATTTTGCGATAAATTTTCTGACCCTTTTTACACTCACTTGAACAATAAGTGAACAAGCAACAAACATATAATTGACTGATTTCCAAACTAGTAATCCATCAATTTGTTGTGTACAAATAACAAAACTAGGTGATGATTAAACATGAATTCGGCCCTCTGAGGGAAGACGTAACTTCAAAGTGGCCCCGCGACAAAAATGAGTTTGACACCCCTGCTCTGAAACTGGAATGTGCGCAAAAATGTGTTGATTAACGCTTTTTTTTTTTTTTTGATGGGGTGTGATTTTTGTTTTATTGTAGGTAAAAGAATCGAAGGTGACAGAAGGCAAAATCAATGAGGCTCGGGAGCACTACAGAGCGGCAGCAGCGCGGGCTTCGTTATTATACTTCATAATGAACGACCTCAATAAAATCCACCCCATGTACCAGTTCTCTCTCAAGGTAGCCCATCTATTGACCGGCCATGTTCCCACACACCTCAAGGGCCCTTCTGTGAGATCCTTCTTCACATTCACTCCTCTGCTCCTGCCCCCACCTCTCTGCCCCCCCTCCCTCCTTCCATTTGCTCATCGTGTTTTATGCTCTTTGCCCTGTTTTATTGTGTTTGTGGCTCCCTAATGTGGTTATGTAGAGCTTAACGTCTTTCATATTGTCAGCCGGCAAGCTCGAAGAAGAGGCGGTCTGAGATATGGTTTGCAATCACCCTCAACTCTCACCAGTACAGTTGCTGCGTCCCTGCTCCGGTCTAGTTTTCAAACTTAATCAAATAAAAACACACTTTTGAGTCTGTAATGACAACTTGTATGAGAGGAAAAGACTTTATGATGTGAGTTTATCACACCAGGTTAGGTCAAAGTCTATCGTTGCTAAATTGATAGAAATGACTGCCAAGTACGGAATTACAATTCCGAAGTCTCGGCAATTGAAGTTTATGTTTGAGAGAAAAAAAAAAATCTCAAAGGCTCCATACTTGTTTCATTTCACTCACGTGAAATGAAATCAGGCCACTGTCATTGGATACACATACCAATCCACAAAGGCCACGTTAAAAATATATTCTTCTGCAAGCAAAACGAGATTTTGATGCAGCACAGCGCGGCATAAATTTAGTTTGTCAACTCTGAACACACGCCGTGATCACATAGTAGTTAGTCCCCTGTGTTGTGGCCGCAACAATCCTGGTTCCAATCCTGGTCATGGTATGTGCGAAGATAAGACTTGACTTCTGGCAGCCTGGTGGCCCAGTCGACCTCACAGTCCAGAGGTCGTGGGTTCGATCCCGGCCTTCCTGTGTGGAATTTGCATGTTCTCCCCGGGCCTGCGTGGGTTTTCTCCGGGTATTCCCGTTTCCTCCCACATTCTGAAAACATGCATGGCAGGCTGATTGAACACCCAAAATTGTCCCTAGGTGTGAGTGTGAGCGCGGATGGTTGTTCGTCTCTGTGTACCCTGCGATTGGCTGGCAACCGGTTCAGGGTGTCCCCCGCCTAATGCCCGAAGACGGCTGGCATGGGCTCCAGCACCCCCGGAACTCTCGTGAGGAGAAAGCGGATCGGAAAACAGATGAATAAATGAATGAACTCCGAACACAATCGTAAACGAATGAAATGAATACCTCTCAGACAATGTCAAGCCAGCGTGTACCTTTTTCTGGATGTTCAGGAATCTTCCTGATTTTGATACAGTTCTTGCATTGTCCTCATGAATGGACTCGACTGTCTTGATCAAACGTCCGTAGGTACTTTATATTTATTTCACTCCAACTAATGGCTAATTGGTTGGAGTTTGGTTCATGTCAAACATCTTGATTAATTTCTATGATCCATGACTCATTCTGTTTGATTGGTTTTAAATGTATTAGTTACACTGAATAAAAGTTTTTTGGGGAAAAAAAAAAAGTAACTTGATCCGTCAGCATTGTCTCAGGAAAATGTTGATTATGCCTGCCCCTGTGCCTCTGCAGGCTTTCAACGCGGTCTTTCAGAAGGCAGTTGTGAAGGCTGAACCCGGCGATGATCTGAAGCAGCGGGTGTCCAACTTAATTGACAACATCACTTCTTCAGTCTTCCAGTACACCACCAGAGGCCTGTTTGAGTGTGACAAACTCACGTACATTGCCCAGCTTGCCTTCCAGGTAAGCAAAAGGCTGGATTCATCTTGACTTGCTTGAATGCTCCGAATACCCGAATCAACCAGCAGCGTGTGCTTCAAAACACTGCGCAAGATTTCAAATTTTCTTTGTCATATCTGCAGATTCTTATAATGAACAAAGAAATAAACCCTGCTGAGCTGGATTTCCTTCTGCGATACCCTGTCCAACCCGCCGAAACATCACCGGTGGAGTTTCTTTCCAGTCATTCCTGGGGAGGAATCAAGGTATCAAAATATAGAAAGGATACAGTACTTAGTTGCTCATTCATTTGTGTGGCCCATGTAGAATTAATTGATATTAATCATATCATAGTAGGGTGGCCCGATGATCCAGTGGTTAGCGCGTTGACCTCACAGTGCAGAGGTATCGGGTTCAATTCCAGCTCCGGCCTCCCTTTTGTGGAGTTTGCATGTTCTGCTTGCGTGGGTTTTCTCCGGGTACTCCGGTTTCCTCCCACATTCCAAAAACATGCATGGCAGGCTGATTGAACACTCGAAATTGTCCCCAGGTGTGATTGTGAGTGCAATTGGTTGTTCGTGTGTGTGTGTGCCATGCGATTGGCGAGCAACCGGTTCAGGGTGTCCCCCGCCTACTGCCCGAAGACGACTGGGATATGCTCCAGCACAACCGTGACTCTTGTGAGGATAAAGCGGATGGATGGATGGATTATCATAGTAACTATTTTTGTGTTGCGAAAGACTAAAGTTGAGTTGGTTACATTTTATACATGTACGTGTGTATATTGTAGATTGATAAAGATTTGTAAAAAAAACAAAACATTGTTTTCTTTTTCTATTTACATAACATACCAACTTCATTGCGAGTGGGCTTTCTATTGAACAATCTGGCACAGTCACTCTCCGTTTTGCAGCTGAGGTTCCTATCATTTCTGGAAGTATACGGGAGACGTAATTGTTTTTTCTTCATATCATCTTAACCGCTGCTCTGACAGCCCGTGTTTCACCTGGGCTCATCTTTGCGGCCCCGTGTCACTCTGAATTATCATTGCATATTGATTGACACATGAACAAAACCCGAACCTCCCCCAAAAAAGCCTCTGTAAAGAACAGGCGTTTGCTAATTCAGCCCTAAAGAGCAGAGGTTTTCCGTCTTGTCACATTTGTTTAGCAGCAAACTTAATGAAATGGCAGCACGCATCTTTAGCCTTTTACACTAATGAATTTTTCAATCTCGACTCCACGGATAGTATCTTAAGCTAAAGTCCACTTACGGGGTTTGGAGACAGCTTTTCCTGAACTGCACTAATGCCCGAGGACTAAGTGATGGAATTCTCTCTTGAACTTGATACTTTGATTGTTTAGTGCTCCTGATGATATTAGCGGGCAATGAATCCCTTGAGAACCTTCAAGGATGAGTTTTCAGTCCCCTTTCCTGTTGCGCATCCATCTTATTCCATTTCCTTTCCAACCTTTACCTCTTATTTTACTCTATTGAAAGTCCAGAGTGGTGTATGACCTTAGTACGCAACAATAAACATACCCATGCTGATAATTGGACTCAATTTGAGCATTTTTTTTCTCCCTTTGCGATTAAATGCATTTTAGGCCCAAAGATAATCCCGAGCAATTATCCAGGGGTGTGGAGTTTATTTAACAATGGTTCTTTTTGTCTTTTTTTTTTCCCCCTTCTGGATTTGTTACAAAGCGGTTGAAGCTAACCATTGGAAATGTTAATTCATCCATCCATCCATCCATTTTCCGATCCGCTTATCCTCACAAGGGTCGCGGGGGGTGCTGGAGCCGATCCCAGCCGTCTTTGGGCGTTAGGCGGAGGACACCCTGAACCGGTTGCCAGCCAATCACAGGAAACACAGAGACGAACAACCATCCGTGCCCACGCTCACACCTAGGGACAATTTTGAGTGGTCAATCAGCCTGCCATGCATGCTTTCGGAATGTGGGAGGAAACTGGAGTACCCGGAAAAAACCCACACAGGCCCGGGGGGAACATGCAAACTCCGCACAGGGAGGCCAGAGCCAGAATCGAACCCTGAACCTCTGCACTATGAGGTCGACGCGCTTACCACTGGACCACCGGGCGGCCTGGAAATGCTAAAAATATTCAATAGTTCGGCTCACCAATCCTTACACGTGCGAACAAGTCTGGTTTGTGACTCCTTGATTATGACATGACTCGGAAAAATTGCCAATAAGATGCCTGAAAGTTACGCTTTCCGCGGACACGAAGAGAAGACCAAAAGGTTGAGTGTTCATATAATATGTCAGTCCAGTCCAGACTGCACTGTGAAGCATGAAGTGTTGAAACATGTTTAACATTTGTTTTTCCTCTCCATTCCTTCCATCAAATAACAGTCGCTGTGCTTAATGGATGAGTTCAGGAACCTCGACCGAGACATCGAAGGCTCGGCCAAACGCTGGAAGAAGTTTGTGGAGTCTGAGTGTCCGGAAAAAGAGAAATTCCCACAAGAGTGGAAGAATAAAACCTCTCTCCAGAGACTGTGCATAATGAGGGCCCTGAGGCCTGACCGGATGACATACGCCGTGAGGTGAGAAGTGCAATGATCGCTTGGCCTTTGCTCTCTGATCTGCGATGCTTTGACTGACCCGTGTTATTTGTTAAAATGCTAAACATTTAACATCTTGAACGTTGCCTCAAGGTTTTAACTTTGCCAGGCCTTCTCACCTATGACTGCCAACCCATTTGCCTGATGCACAATAATAGCTTCAGCAGCACATCTTAATCGATGAACCTCGCAAAGCGATCAAATGCATTAATTGTACAGTCTCCAGCAGGGGTGTCAAACTCATTTTTGTCACGGGCCACATTTTAGTTACCGTTTCCCTTGGAGGGCCGTTATGACTGAAATCAAATAAAATAGTTACTGTAATGAGGGGTTTGGTTGCAAGGAAATGCTTACAATATGTCTCTTATTTATGATTTATGAGAATTTTTAATTTTGGTAGAGATTTTACCAAGCATCATGGAAGTTGACATTTGCTTTTGCGGGCCGCATAAAATGATGTGGCGGGCCAGGTCTGGCCCCCGGGCCTTGAGTTTGACACCTGTGGTCTACAGTAACCAAGTTTTGGGCAATGTACGTGAGTTTGTCACACTCAAAGTATGGTTTAACATACACAAGCAATACAAAATAAGCATTAGTGCAGTCCAAAAAATGTAAAAATGTACAATAAAATATACAGTACTATGACATATTCCGCTTTTTTGGCACATTGGACACCCAAAAAAAATAATGCCATAGTTTGACAAAAATGTCTCGCTTATTTGACATGTTTGATTTGCTTTCGTGGGCCACATAAAATGATGTGACGGGCCAGATGTGGCCCCCGGGCCTTGAATTTGACACCTGTGATTTAGAGCCAAAATTGGAGGTAGTGCGCGCTGGCGAGCAGGTGGTGGCCGGGACTGCAACCATGGGGACCGGCCGAGCTCCACTTCCACTGGGGTAACCACTTGTGGGAGGGGCCAAAGGGGTCAGGTGCTCTGTGAGCCCAGCGGCGGCAAAAAGCGGTCCAATTCCCGCCTCCAGAGACTAGATCGAGGGACATGGAATGTCACCACTCTGACAACTGCCCTCAGTTTGTCAGTCCGTGCCCCCTACCGAAAACAAAAAAAAAAAAAACGTCATAATCCAAATGATGAAAAATCCAAAATCATTAAAATGGTACATTATATGGTGGCTGCCCAAACACACACAACTCACATATATTTCCCATACATTTATTTGATGTGAAGCAAAAAAAAAAAAAAAAAAATTGCAATCTTGAAATTGTTTCCCCCAAATGATGATGAGAGTTTAACATCGCGGTTTACCTTTAAATATCTGTCTCTCCATACTTTGAAGTCACCTGTCAAAGATACCAAAATATGCTGCTGATAGCATAGTCCCATTCTCCCCCCCGCAGAGACTTTGTGGAGGAGAAACTTCTCCATACGATCCGATTCTTTGAAGTCACCTGTCAAAGGTACCAAAATATGCTGCTGATAGCATAGTCAAATTCTCCCCCCCGCAGAGACTTTGTGGAGGAGAAACTAGGGGGCAAGTATGTGATTGGCAGATCTCCGGACTTCGCGGTGTCCTTTGAGGAAACAAGTCCGACGACGCCCATGTTCTTCATCCTCTCTCCTGGAGTCGATCCTTTGAAGGATGTAGAGAAACACGGTAACGCTCTCGCTGTTTTATCTTTAATAAGCCATAAAATTCCTCCTCGCGGCATATGGGGGCTTTATCAGAGCATACAAACTGTGAACACAGCTGTCATTCCTTCATATTGTGAAAAAAAAAAAAAAACGTGAGATTTTTACGAAGCAGACCATTGAAGTTGAAGTGCGGGCGTAGCTGCTCGCTACTCTTGATTGCAACTCCATCAGATTATCGTCGAGAACAGCAGTTGTTCCATCACATCTGCCCTATGTCTTCTCTTTTATATCAACCATCACGGTGAAAAAGACTGGGTAGATTGTGGGGATTATACGAAAGGTCACCTATTTATGAGATGACACCAACGTTGAAAGAGGGCCGGCAGATAAGTAAATGCCAGTTATTTTACAGTTCTGAATGATGTGGATGCGCTCCAAAGCCATTTTTTTTTTTTTTTTTTGCCTGACATATTGCGGAAAGTCTCGGAATACGGTGCCGTAATGGTCTTCTGAAGTGGCTGCCCAATAATGCAGTCGGGATATTTTTTTAATGCCAGCTTCACGGAGTGTTCACAATGCCCAAAAGAAGCCCCCTTTACGTCTGCTAATATTTGTATGACACATATTCAACACGTTGATTACCAGCCAATGCGATTGGATTTGACTTTCTCGGTTCAAAGCCCGCACTGTTAAACAAACAAATCCATATCAGATTGAATCAGCTCGAGATGAAGCAAACAGACCTTGAACCTTGATGAAATCCTTTGCTAATATGATAACGGGGACGGATTTCTCCCGGAACTCATCTTTGAGGGGTGTGCTAATTGAATATCAGCAGACCTCATGCTGAGTGGATCAAAGCTGAAAGTTATCATATCATTGCTATAGAAAGAGCACAGTGGTTGGAACAGTCGCTGAACGACACGCCGCCATGGCGTGTTTTTTTTTTTTTTTTTTTTTTTTTTTTATTACAGCTACCGGCGGGTTTAATCATTGCAGTTTTCATTTGGAATATACTGGCACTGATTAAATGATTTTGGCCTCAGTAGGAGGGGAGGGGGGGACCTCGCTATCTGTCTGCCGGTTAGGTTCGACGTTGTAATGCCACAAAACTAATTGTCTTGTTCAATCTCGGCGACACAGGTAAGAAGCCATTTACTTTCTCCTTAAATTAAAGTTTTTAATGTCTTACTGGGAGTTAGATGAGAAGCTCAATTTCACTGCCATGTTGGTGCGGTGATTGTCAGCACAGCGCTCGCACCTTTAACGAGAAGTGAATCTAGGGATGATTATTTTTTTTTGTTTCTTACTATTTTTTTTTTTTTTTAATGACGCAATTTTTTTTTTTTTTGTCGGGATGATAGCAGCAAGTTGCTTAACGTGCACATTGGATGAGTGGGTCTCAGCACCAAATTTACATGTCGCTACGTGTTTATTTCAGGAAGGAAGCTTGGTTTCACCTTTGACGACAAGAACTTCCACAATGTGTCTCTGGGTCAAGGTCAAGAGGCCATGGCTGAACAAGTCCTTGACTTGGCAGCGAAGAATGGCCATTGGGTCATACTGCAGGTACATTAGAATCATCCTATAGTCAACATGTAAATTAAACAACCATCTCGTTTTAAGTGACTCCATCTATCACCTTATTGAGTCGTCTCCAGAGCTGCCAACTGTTACTGATTGTCCGTATGCGAAATCACTTCATGCGAACTCATTACGCCTGTAAGACTGTTTTCCAATTAACCTTGTTCACCCGTGGAATGTTCCAAAACCTTTTTTTTTTCGCATTCTTCCCTTTTGTTGCCTCCGTCCCAGTTTTTTGGAGTTTTTTTTGGCAATGTGTTTCAGGCATGATATTCAAAATGAGAGAATATTTTGAGAGAAACAATCACGCTCATCAATTTGATTAGAATTAGTTTGTATTCAATTGATTAAGGGTTGAAAAGGATTTGTGAATCATTGCATTTTGTCCCAGTGGCCTGCTCGTCGACTGGTGAGCAGGTCGGCCTCACAGTGCAGAGGCGCAGGGTTCGATTCCGGCTCTGGCCTTCCTGTATGGAGTTTGCATGTTCTCCCCGTGCCTGCGTGGGTTTTCTGCGGGTACGGATGGTTGTTCTCACATTACAAAAACACGTGTGGCACATTAATGGAACACTGTAAGTTGTCCCGAGGTGTGAGTGTGAGCACGGATGGTTGTTCGTCTATGTGTGCCCTACGATTGGCTGGCAACCGGTTCAGGGTGTCCCCCGCCTACTGCCCGAAGACACCTGGGATAGGCTCCAGCACACCCCGCGACCCTTGTGAGGAGAAGTGGATCAGAAAATGGATGGATGGGTGCAGTTTCAATCAGCCTGCCATGCATGTTTTTGGAACGTGGGAGGAAACTGGAGTACCCGGAGAAAACCCAGGCAGGCCCAGGGAGAGCATACTACACCACACAGGAAGGCCAGAGCTGGAATTGAACCCTGCACCTCTGCACTGTGAGGTCGACGCGTTATATATACATATTTATACGTAAAGTCGAAGATTTTCTGTCATATTAGTTCACTGCTAATTAATTGTATTATCTTATTGAGTTGCAAGGCACATATGATACCATTGCCTTTGTCCCTGGTTCATCTGCATGTAAAAGTGAATCAAATTCTCTCTGGGAATTCTCTTCCTGGAAGAGCCCTGGCATTCAATAGCAATTCAATTGTACAATATCTACAGCCACAGTATCTGTTCCCCTCTTATCAGAGGGGGTAAGGCTCACGTTTGCATTTTAAGTGGAAACCTTGGTGGAATTATAATGAGAAATATCGATGGACTAAAAAAAAAAAAAAAAAAAAAAACGCATGCCGGGCTCCCCTCGCCTCCCCCTCTCCCCCCCACACACACTTTTCTTTTAATACTGTATGTATTTATATACCCGGATGGTAGACAAGGAGGAAAAAAAATGGGATGCCCGACTCTCCACTCTATAAGGATAGCGCAGACGAGTGATTGTTTTAATTACCTTTGCATAAGAATTAAGATCAATAGGCTTAAAAAGGGATTGTCCCCCTGGCAACGAACCACCCACTCCCTTTATCATCATCTATCTGTCTACCTGCTGAGAGCGAGATCCATGGCACTGGCTAAGCAGCGAAAGAAAAACATTGGGGGTGTCATTATCTCACTTATTCTACCAGTTGTATCTCCTGATATTAGATTCACCCCCCCCCTCCCCAAACATTCTGTATTTCTCTTCCTACACCCACATCCCCATCATTCCGCCTTGTAACTCGATGATGACTTTGATTCTGTACTTCTAATTAAATACAGATCCATTCCCGACCATCTTACCAGTCCCCTCCTGTCTCTTATCTCGCGCTTCACTTTTTCTCACTTACTGCCAGGCGCAGGTCCATCAGGGCACTGCTGGGTCAATGGTTGGTTACCCTTCAACATTTGGGTAATTATACCGCAGAAGGCCAACTCCTGCCGCGATGGGCCAAAGAGACGCAGAAGCCTTTAAAGCAACCCCCTTGGGGGACGGGGGGCTCGGGTAGGAGGTGATGGGGAGACAATCAGCCCAGCAGATTGGAGTTGAATATCCCACACAGGCCAGCTGGTGGGAATCAAGTGGCATCAATTGGCCAGATCAGATTTTCTTTTTTATTGTTAAATCCACCACATTAGTGGGTAGTATCAGAAAGAGGTGGGGATAATAAAAAAATAAAAATCATCATTTGACAAGGGCGGCCTGGTGATCCAGTGGTTAGTGCGTCGACCTCACAGTGCAGCGGTACCAGGTTCAATTCCAGCTCTGGCCTTCCAGTGTGGAGTTTGCATGTTTTTTTTGAATCATCGTAGTTTGAACTTTAAATGAAACGCGATTGTGCTGTTTTCTAAATGTGTTAACATAATTGAATTTGGACGAAGCCGCCAGTCATTCTGACAGCCCTTGCAACCGGGCCCGCAATCCAGTCTGCCCTGTCCAGCGCTCATATCGAACGGCTGCGTCCTCCATACCGGAGCTCAGCTGTGCACTTGGCAAATGGGTCACCTGCATTCATTCACTTTTGCCATCGTGCGCTCTTCGCTTGCGTGATGAGCAGTTGGAACCGCCGTTTTTGCATTCCCTCTCGGCTTTGCATTGGATAGCAATGTATCAAAACGGCTTGCCAGCTGTGGCCGCTGATGGAATTTAAAGATTCATTTTATGTAAATAGAGATGCCTGTTTGACGCAACATTAAAACTCATTCAATACCAGCCAATTCTGGACCAAGTCTGAAAAGACGTTTAAAAACATCTTTGGGAGTGAATGAGTTCAGAGGAGGCAAGAACTAAAGTCTACCTGAACTTTCCCTCCATTTGAAAGCCCTAAAACAAGAGGCCTGCTCCTTTTTTTGTGTTCTGTGTTTGTTAGTCGGTGCCGCAAGTGCATCCGTCCTTTCTTCACTTGTACACTCCGTAGCCAGGGGATGAACGGTTTCATTACCGTTACAAATTGTCAGACCCTCTCTCACTTCTTCGGTGGACGTCTTTATTGCTTGACTAGTTACATGCCAAAAGGAAGGGCTGGTACTCAAGCCTGATGAAAAAGCGCTCGAATTTAGACTTCTAATTTGTATCCCCATTCATTATTCTCTAGAGCACCAAGAGAAAAACGTAGTGATCACTTTGTCTCCTCCAGCTATTGTCTTTGACGCCCCCCACCCCACTTTCACTTTTTCTCTCATAATATCCTTGAACTTTACACTAGCCCCCTTTTGTTAAATGTCTCCCCAAAAAATCTGACAAACTGACATTCCTCTCTATCGTGTCCCCTCGCCTGGAAAAAGGGCTAACTTCAGCCATCATAAGGAAGATTAAATATGAAGAGCAAATGGAAATGAGAAAGTAAAGAGGCTTATGAATTAATGACTGGAGTTATTAGTGCTGTAATTAGATTTAGGGAATGGGCAGTGCTGCATGGTTAAATGTGTTGGGAGGTTGGTGTGGGGGGGGCACGGCTGACTGCTTATCATTCACGGGATGTCCTGTAAGTGTCAAGACAGTTGAGATGGAAAATTGAGCTCATCCGAGCTTGTGTGATCATACAAGTCAGCTCCGCTGCCCGGGCTGCACTCGCCAGATGAATTTGCAGAAAAGTCAGGCTGAAGTATCAAGCGAGAGCGGTTGCTTAATGTTAGCATCTCGAAAATTGGTTTCAAGTGCTGTGTACCGTTTAATTTAGTGCCACTTCAAAGTCAGGGTGATAGGGGGGACGATACCAAATTTAATTCCTCCTTTTTGTTCGTTGTCATGACAAATATAAATTGCATGGGCAGTTTCACAACCAAGAAGCGCAGGTTATTTTGTGTGTGGGGGTTTGTTGTTGTTGTTTCAATTGTTTTCAAGCCTGAAGTCTTTCATATCGCAGTTTTGCTTTTTTTAAACTGCTGTCTTGTTCCATGTAGAATATCCACCTGGTGGCTCGCTGGCTGGGTACTCTGGAAAAACTTCTCGAGCAGCGAGCCGAGGGAAGCCATGAGAATTTCAGGGTTTTTGTCAGTGCCGAGCCGTCCTCCACCCCTGAGGGACACATCATTCCACAGGGCATCCTGGAGAACTCCATCAAGATCACCAATGAGCCACCGACCGGCATGCATGCCAACTTGCACAAAGCTCTGGACAACTTCAACCAGGTAAAGATAAGAAAACATTTATTTGTCTCACAATGGAGAAATTCGCAATTTACAGGAGCACAATTTGAAGGGAAGAAAGTCGAAAAACATGAAAGTATTTGCATGCACAAAATAAATTCAAACCTTCCCGAAGATTCAAATCATCCAGTCGCATCAGTCGGTGGGTTGTTGCGATGTGTTTGACGACACGACCAGCGGAGACGCGGTGTTGTCCAGTGTTCGCGCTGTCCACTTGTCATCTCACCAATCTACTCATTAACGACCCGCCGGGGAAAACAATCCCGCTACTTGAGTGAGAACATCTCCGCACAAAAGCAGCGTATTAATATAACGTACGTATGAAGTGTCGATGGTTAGTACTTGCAGCTCTGAGGTGTCCAGGGCCGTTGCTAGAGGCTAAAGTACAAACTCCACTCTTCGTATGTAATGTATTTTCCGCATTATAAGGGGCTCCTAAAATCATTATATTTCCTCAAAAGCCGACAGTGCGCCTTATAATCCGATGCGCCTTATAGGTATGGATCAATATTCTGATTTTTTTTTTTTTTTTTGGACCTAGTTTTTTAAATCTTCTGTAAATCACTTTTTTACAGCTGCAGCGGTTGTGAAAGCGTGATATCAATAAAGGTGTATTGTATTGTTTTCCCTCTAGTGTAGCTCCATCTAGTGGACTCATAAAGCAACTGCGGCCACTATTGTAGCTTCTATGCGCCCGATATATGAGAACAGTTTTAAAATAGGCCATTCATTGAATTTATGCCTTACACTCTAAAGCGCCTTATAGTACGGAAAATATAAAAATATACATTATAAAAATATGATACATTATTATATGTAAACCAACAGAACCACACCTGCGTAAGTACTTGGCGACAGAGGCAGGGGAAAAAGTCGAAGGAAGAAACAGTGAACAGAACCCAGCTTTGAAGGGCGACGACTGCCTTGGCCGTCTGGGTTCAAACGGAGAAACCGAGTAGAGGGACATGGGTGGATAGACAAGAGAACAATGGGTCCAATAACGGCCGCATCATTGCCACAGTGTCGAGTTGGCCCACTTGCTCCTCCTACGCCTAGCTTACTTGCCACTTCAGTTATTGCTTTCATGACCCATCCCTTACCCATTTAAGAGCCCCTGACATTCATGGCAACACTTTCAGGCTGTGGACAAATGAAAACTGAACCCAATGTTTCGGGGAGAAGCCTGCGACAATATAATAATGCCGTTCGTTCAACGAAGACCGAAAGAGTTCAGCGATACCAGCCTCACAGCGTCCATAAACTGCCGTGCAGTTTAAATAAACCAAATATGTCAGTGATAATTTTTTTTTAAATATATCATTTTATCTGATAACATGGTCCGATTATTGCTGTACATTAACAGTCCCTTTGACAGTTATGGGATTAGAATGACTCTTCAAACTGCAAGGGAAAAGAAATATTTTCAGTCGAACTCCCCATTTTGATGATAAAATGTCTAAAATTATGTTTTAGTTGTTCCTTTAATTGTGGTTTTTGGCAAGTGACCATGGTATGATCGAACCTGAAGTGAGATCTTGATCTCCCCAAATGTTTGGCTATTTCGTGGCATTCAAATAATTCAAATATTGTCCTAAAGTATCTTCAACTCCGTGCTGAATTTTTATTTGCTTCAGCACATTGTTCACGCCCCACTGCAGGCATTTGTCTTTGCCATTCTTCTGCCAATTTAGGCCACAGGAGTCAGTGACTATAACAAATAAATATGAGAGAAACCTTTGACGGTTTTCTTGTCCATTTGTGGGTATCTTTTAGATTTTAGGTCATGATGATACACACTGCCCTTCTTTCACATATTTACTTCTTTTTTTTTTTTTTTTTTTAAGATGGCGCCCCCTGCAGGTGACACAGCATATGCCAATTTTCATTCCAATGTTGCCCTCAAGATGCCAATTTGCTCAAATGAAGCCGTGAGCAGATGGCCCGTTCACTCACCCTGGAACAGTTTCATACCCATGGAGGACAGATGTGAACATGGCACATGCGAGCATTAAATGCAACTAAAGTCACATTCTCACTTTCTGTTTGGTTTAATGGTGTGACCAGCCAATTCCTGGAACACATTTCCGTCATCGCGCTCAGTGCACTTGATTGACCTCTAGCTTTTTTTTTTTTCTTACCTTATCAGTTTTGTATTGCTCTCCATCACCACAGCTCTTCGCTGTCATTGCTCAGCTCTCTCCTTGTCCCATTTCGCAATCTTTAGCTCGTTCTTGATGATTATCTACCTAACAAAGGCAACATGCTCGTGAGCCCTGCCTTATGGAGTGGCGAAATGATGTACACTGACGTGAGGTTGAAGGATTATTGGAGTAGCCCACCCGCAAGGCTGAAACCACTCAGCCAAAGAAATTACTCTTTCTTTTATTTTTATTTTTTTGCCTTATTGTACATCTTCTTTATCTTGTTTCCTATTCAGAGTCAGACTAAAAAAAAAAATTGTTATTGTGTGATAGAACGGCCGCCATATGTTTTTGCTGAAACTAACGACTTTCATTGATCTGTCAAATTACAGGCAGTTCATGCATGCCGATGTTAATGTCATATCTGTCGTGGCTTTTTTTTTTTTTTTTTTTTACACTGCATATATGAGTGCCGGTGTGTCGTGATGGCTCCGTCTCTCTTGATTATCTGACTGCGTGTTATTTTTCTTGAGTACACGGGGTCATGAAAAGAAAGGCTTTGCATCTCATTCGGCTGTGTTGAGCAAAAGGGAGTCTTGTGCGGAATGTTAATTAAAGCTCCAGAAGGAGTGTGTATGCGGCAGCGCTTTCGAAGTCACTATGCGCTATAGCTGTGGGCAAGCATGTGCATCGTAGGAGTCAGCTCCCCAGGGCACTGCCGCAGTGGCCCTCATCGTCACACTCCCCATGACATACTGATGGAATGAATAGAATCCAGCGCCCTTCGTTCCGTATCGGCTTTATTGGCATGCTTATTTAACAGTCCCTTTTCCACCAGAGATTATATTGCCATTCTTGTTTTTTTGTATTAAGGCTGTCTAGAACAATGATCTCAGGAGACAGATGGAGGCTCGAAGCGCCTGACAGGTTGTGACAGTTAAAAGGTGATCCCGTTGTCATGCTTTTTGCCATCTACACACCCCGCAAACTGTTGAGTGGTGACGTCACAAACGCATCGGACCAATTGTCTTTTTTTCATCAAGGCAATGAGTATTTTTGTTATTTTGCTTCATCAAAATGCGTCTGTTTGCATCGCTGCAAAACAAAGCCCGTTTCTGCAAAAAAAAAAAAAAAATTCCACCAAATTGTTTGCTTGAGACGATCCATCGATTTCGATTAGAATTTTTTATTTTTACTTTATATGCTGGGTATTCTTTGATTGGCCGATTTTCTTATTGATTCTAATTAATTATGAACAATGCACAAAAACAAAATATTATAAAAGATCCTGCTGCGACTGTCTCGCTCGCCTGCTCTTTATTTCTTTTTTGTTCACATTTCCCGCATTTACATTCATCGCTTCTTAGCGCTGAGCAATGAGATACAGGCAGCGAGCTACCCGAAGCTAAGTTAGCTGGAGAGACTTCAACATGCCATAAACGGTCAGGACAATTCAACGGAAGAAGCTTCGCCCTCGTAAAGTGATACCGTGATGAAGATTACGTTTGTTCAGTGTTAATTTACTGAAAAACACCAAATTTAAAGCTGTGTTGTTGGTAGCAATTAGCGGCAGGCGGCTGCTGAAGCCACTCATCGTCACGCAGGTCACGTTTCCGTGCGCAACGAAGTCTCCAATCTCCACCAGTTCTGCTTTTGCAGTAATTACATTAAAAAAAAAGACATTTTGGTGATGTTTGCCGTCGAAAGCAGCGCAATTGCACTTTAAGCTAGTATCGGTGGGGGTGTTGGCAAACATTTGGCAACTTCGTCTTCATGGAAAAGAAAACTGCCCGCACCAACAAATGTCCATCTGGAAACACAGAAGTGGCCAAACATTGATTCTGAGTGTCGCAAATATGGTTTCAAAATGGTTAATTATTGTTTTGAAGCAAAAATTTTTTGTTTCTACCAACTTTTTAAAAATTTTTTTTATAGGAGACGCTGGAAATGTGCGCAAGGGAGAATGAGTTTAAAAGTATCCTCTTTGCACTCTGCTACTTCCATGCTGTGGTAGCAGAGAGGAGGAAGTTTGGTCCTCAAGGATGGAACAGATCCTACCCTTTCAACACAGGAGACCTCACAATTTCGATCAATGTCCTCTTCAACTACCTGGAGGCGAATCCCAAGGTGGGCTCGGCTTTTGCGTGGAAACAAAATCCATTTGTATTTGTTCGGGAAAGCGTTACCGATTCTCCGACCGTTTGCCTGATTCTTAGGTGCCCTATGATGATCTGCGCTACCTCTTTGGTGAGATCATGTACGGGGGTCACATCACGGATGATTGGGACCGCCGTCTATGCGGGACCTATCTTGAGGAGTTCATTAAGCCTGAGATGATGGAAGGAGATCTGTGTCTAGCACCGGGTTTCCCTTTGCCTGGCAACATGGACTACAACAGCTATCACCAGGTTAGGGAAACACTATATGACTTTTTTTTTCCACTCAAATTGGTCACGGAATTCAACAAGATATAACTGATTAGATTTTTTTTTTTTTTAAGTCGTAGCACTGGGTTTGGGATGTATGGCCAAGAGTATCCTCCAACACGCTGTTGACGGTTGAGAATTGCTCGAATTGAATTGTTAATCAGCTCCTTCTCCAAATGAGAACGCTAAATCAATTGCAATGAACCTCCCAGATGGGTACCACAATTTAACAGATTGAAGTTTTCAAAGTATTTCTCAGAAGTAGAGTTACTATAGTCGGTGGAAAGGAACTCACTAGCAAACTTGGAGTATGGGTATACATAAAATACGCGAATGGAAAAAAAGGCACCTACTCCTACTACCAAAATATATTTGCGCATGCATGACAGAATAATATATCGAGTGTGCCGTGTGATCATGTTTTCATTCACCACCCAATGCATTTGTTCTCATTTTGTGTTGGGGTGACTGATCTGATTATACATTTGGATAAGCAGAGCATATTAAAGTAATGGCAATGCACAACAGAAGGCACCCGGAGAAGCTTTACCGAATCAATAGTTCAACATTAAAATGATGTGTCAAAAGACTTTCATATTGAATGTGTTAGTCCTTACAATTTGTTTCCCTGTATGTAGATGAACAAGTGGTCTAGTTCTGCAACCACGACAAACATACGGAGAAATAAAACCAGGGTTAAAATTAATGACTTTTTTGCAGTGCCAGTCAAAATGATTTATCTGTGTCATTCAGAAGTTTATTTTTATTTTTTTAACAACCTCTGCTTTGAAATGAGTGCAAATGACCTAATGATTTCTTCTAACATTTTAATTTCCCTTTAGCGTAGCACCACCTAGTGGATGCATATCCAAACCGCAGCCACTATTGCAGCTTCGATTCTATGCGCCTTATAATGCAGTGCGCGCTATATATGAAAGCAGTTTTAAAATAGGCCATTCATTGAAGGTGCGCTTTATAATCCGAAGCGCCTTATAGTGCAGAAAATACGGTACGTGTAATTAGCTCAAAATTTGTTGTGAAAATTGTCCTCCTCCGAAACGATGTGTCCTCCCGATACACACCTCCCCTATCTTTCAAGTTATATGCGCCGTGCCACTGCATGAGGAAATACTGCATTCAAATCACACGACCGAGATTACGCTACATCTTCTTTTCTTAAACTACTGTTTAACCAACACGGTTATTAGGCCGAAGCTTTGTTTTATTTTATTTTTTTAGATGGCTTCAGAAACAAATTGTGACAGATGCAGGCTTCATAAAGTGACTGCCACACCTCAGCCCAGTTCACCTTGCCTGCTGTATTATGAGATCTGTCTCTCTGAGCCTGAACCCTGAATGGCAGGGTCAACTCAAAATAGAGCCAGGTCATTGTGTCAACGATTGCCGCACCGCTATAAAGACTCTCTAAAAATACAATCTATTTATGAAACATCTGACAGGCCATCCACTGCCACACGACCATCTGGAACTAACTTCTTGGGTCGCATATTTGAAAGAGACACAGGGACGGGGGAAAGGAGTGACTCAGCAATTTGACTTATTCATTTTAGATACATACAGGTCGATGCAGTCAGCAAAAAAAAAAAAAGTTGATCAAGCAATCTGACAACAAAGTGTTTGTGGGTTGAAGACCTCCATTTCAAAAGAATATGATTAAAAACTGACAGCTCAGAGTTTAGAGGTTTTTTTTATTTTTTTTAATTCCACGTCCAACAAAAAGCATATTGATCATCATGGACGAGCAGATGGAAAATGTGTTTATTTATTTATTTTTCCTTGCCTCATTAGCTGCTTATCAAGTGTTTGGATTTTCAGACGTATTTTAATGGCTCTATTCTTCCCTTGTCAGCAATAGTTGAGAGAAAACACCTGATTTAAATAAAAAGTATGATCTTTCGAAGGAGTGCAGTCTCGTAAATCAACGTACCGTATTTTCCACACTAAAAGGCGCACTGGATTATGAGGCGCACCTTCAATGAAAGGCCTATTTTGTCATTTTTTTCATACATTGGGCGCACCGCATTATAAGACGCAATCTACAATGATGGAGCTACGCTCAAGGAAACACCAACAGAACATTCAGATGTCAGTAAAACATATTTAATTAATAAAGCAGCGACACAGTTCACTTAACCAACAGCAAGTTCTAACATTGACTCGTTAACGTTGAACTCTCTTGCCGCTGCTCTATTTCCGTGTTCAACTGCGTAACCGATCGCCTTGAGTTTGAACTCTGCGTTGTCAACATGTCTCGAGCAAGGAGCCATTTTGGGGTCGAAATATTACCGTAATGACCGTACACAAGCGCATCGGATTTTAAGGCGCGCTGTGAGCTTTTAAGAAAGTGGAAGGCTTTTAGGTGCGCCTTTTAGTGCGGAAAATACGGTAATTCTGTTCTGTTATGGTGAAAAAAAAACAAAACTTGAATTATCTGGAATTATCCGTCATGTAGTACAATGGGAAGCTCTAACTTGGATTTCTTTTCCTCCAGTACATTGATGACACCCTACCCGTCGAGTCACCCTATCTGTACGGCCTTCATCCCAACGCCGAGATTGGCTTCCTCACGCAGACCTCCGAAAAGCTTTTCCACACTTTGCTGGAAATGCGGCCCGGGGATGGAGGAGTCGGTGAAGGGGGAGGGGTCACACGAGAGGAAAAGGTAAATAGAATTCATTCTTATTCGAGCTGCTGCATGGGAGATGAGACGACCTGTGAGTATGTGTTGCGAGTTGGACGATTGTTGTCTCGTTAGATTATAATGAAACACAGTTCACCCATTTCCCCTCCCGCCCTGTTCATCATCATTTTCGGAAGCTCAGCAATGATCACCGGTCCCTTCTCGCTGAAGTACATGGGCCACGCTCAATTACTTTTGAATCTTGAGAGCAATAAAAATGCAGCATGTAAACACAAGTAATGATTCTGATTTGAAGAGTCAAGCTGTCACCTTAAAGCTCCTATACAAAGCACGGCTCTCCACAAATGTGAATTTCATGCTCGATTTTGGGAAGGTGCATCTGGTTCCAAATGCAGGATGACAACAGGTGACACTTTCTATCGCTAAATGCAGCGAAAAGCTTGTCGGGGTTGACTTTACCCATCGTGTTTTGTATATGCTGGTCTCCTTTTTGGTTCAGTGCAGCTTTGATGTAAATTTTATTTGTCCCAAAAAAGCAAACGTGTGCAGTATTGTGCACTACCTCTTCTCATACCGTTCAGGGACTCGCATTTCTTTTCTTTAATACAATGAGCATTTGTTCAAATTCTTGATTTTTAGTTCATGGATTTCTCCATTCTATGATGAGCTTCACACCTAAATTATGATGTGGACCTCCAGGCAGTAAGCCTCCACTTCTTCTCAAGATGGTCATTATAGTTGATACCGCATCGTGGCCAAGATCAATACCATATTTATTTTAAATATGAGGTAACGCAGAAAGTACATTTATATTAACCAGCGTGTGTGTGTTTGTGTGTGTGTGTGAGCAGAAAGCAGAACAAGCGTCAGGAGAAGGGATTTCACTCCAGTCAAAAATACCCCAACATCGCCCATTAGCATGACTCCATTGTTGCACTTTCATCAAAACAAAATAAATAAATACATAAACATAATTCCATTAAAAAAAGAACAAAAAAACAAATACATAATAGTAAGAATAACAATAAGAATAATTCAACATGAACAGGATAATGGTTGAAAATGAATTCATAAACTTTGAATCAAAGCCAGTTTAGCTTTTCTTTTCTTTCTTTTTTTTCCCCCCCCGATGCTAATTTTCGACCATGATAAAACCTCTCCCTCCACGTGACCTTTTTACCTCCAAAAACCTGATACTTGTCTCAGCATATGAGCACCTCAGAGGACCTTTTTGTATTGCGGGAGCTCCGTCGCCGCCGAACTGGGATCAGATATTTGAACTCGAGAAAGCCAGAGATATGATGACTTCATATCCTTTGTCCGGCACCTGTCGTAATCCACCAACAGATTACCGATGCCGGTTGCCTTGGAAAAATGTCGACACAGCTTTCCACCACCAAAAAAAAAAAAAACATGTGAGCATTATTTTTTCTGAAGGGATTAGGTTGTTATTGATAGGGAGGAAAAAACATATCATTGCAACAAAAAAAGGCTCATAAATATTAATGGGCATGTTTACTTTGAACAAAATAGTTTCTCGGTTTATGATAATGCTGAATTTATACAACATTAGCCTTCTGTGAATGTCATCTGTCCCCGGCGTTTAACCATGGAGTCACATCATCCAATTGAATTAAAAAGAAATTGGGTGGAGGGAGTGGGGGAGGGGGTGGAACAATTCTTCTCATGTGTTCATTTATTTGAAGGTGCGAACGATGCTGGAGGAGATCACTGAGAAACTCCCCGAGGAGTTTAACATCTCTGAGCTGCTGGGAAAGGCGGAGGAGAGGACTCCCTACCAGGTGGTGGCCGTGCAAGAGTGCGAGCGCATGAATCTCCTCACCCAAGAAATCAGACGTTCCCTCAATGAGCTCAGCCTGGGCCTCAAGGTGAGATCATTAAAATGCAGGCAGACATGAAATATTCAGTTCTAAGACGTAAACTCATCACAGGCGAAATGCCATCAACTCCTAGCGCCGCGACGGCAAACGCCGAGCGGCACTGTTGTTCCGCATTTCGCCGAAAATCACTTTTTGCCTCCGACGAATGAAAATAGGTTATGTGAATTACGATTGGCCTATCATGTGCCCCTCCATCGTGTTTCATGAATGAAAATCACAGTCCCACTGACTGAAACATTTGAAATGCGCTTTTGTAATTCTGGCAAACTTCGCTTTTATTTTGAAAACAAAGAAGTGGACTGTCCACCCACGTCACCCACAAACCCCTTAATAAGGCTTTTATTTTTATTTTATTCATTTATTTATTTTTTTGGGGGTGAGAATTGCTACCGGCTGACTCAGACCTGCCTTAAAAAGTTGTAAAAAAGATGCGGGAACCGTATGTGGAGTCTGCTCGAGACATTTAGAAACAAGGAAATGAAAAGAGAGAGAAGGAGGGAGAAAACCGTTTGTCAGGAGTTATGAGGATCTCTCAACATTATTAGCGCCCGATAAATCGGCTCGGTGATTTCAAAGCCATCGAGTCTATTGTACCAGCAAATGGAATCATATTTTGCCTTCATAGTAAAATAAATAGAGGCCCAATAGAAAGTGAACTATGGTGTGCCGCTCCCGAACGCGAGTGTGGATGAATTTGCACATCGCGAATATTTTTAACGAAGGTTCTACGCTGACGTAGATCAATATCCCGACGTTGATCATCGTCGCCAACCATTTTGTGACTGACACGCATTGATGTGAGCAATGGATTCGCTCCAGCGTCAATGGGTGGAGTGCACCATTGTCGCCCCGCACGCTCGCTCATTCTTCCTGAGTGCCATGATCGGCTTACTTTATTTTCTTTTCAGTTCTGACGTGCTTGTGCTGCGTATGTATGAGGTCAATTTCCTCCGACTTGCTTGAATGTGTAGTTGAAAGATCCCAATTTCATAATTTTTTAATATATATTTGATTGCTGTCTTGTATTGATCCTTCAGGGGGAACTAACCATGACCAGTGACATGGAGACCCTGCAGAACGCTATTTTCCTGGACATGGTACCGGAGACTTGGACCAAGCGTGCTTACCCTTCCATATGTGGCCTTGCTTTGTGGTTCTCTGACCTGTTGGTCCGGATCAAGGAGCTGGACGTGTGGACAGCTGATTTTGTCTTACCTTGCGCGGTGTGGCTGACCGGCTTTTTCAACCCACAGTCCTTCCTCACCGCCATCATGCAAACCATGGCTCGCAAGTACTTCACTGCAGGGTTTTTTTTGTTTTTTTTTTTTTGACGGGCGGCTTGAAATTGTGAATTGCTTGGTGTGATATAGCGATTCCATGTTTAAATTGGCAGGAATGAGTGGCCTTTGGATAGCATGAGTCTGCAATGTGACGTGACCAAGAAGAACCGCGAGGACTTGATATCTTCACCCCGAGAAGGGGCTTACGTTCATGGGCTATACATGGAGGGGGCCCGCTGGGACACACAGGTATAGCTCGACTTATTTATTGATTTTGCTGATCTTTCTGCAGACAAGTATGTTGACATCCGCCTCGACACCGATGGCGACACAGTTACTAAAAATGGAAGACCGTACGGATTCATGGTCCTTCCCAAAACTGTGACCATAAAATCGCAAGCGTGCAATAATGTCTTTTGTAAGATTAGGAATTAAGATCTTGAGGGCGAAGGGAGTGTATTGATTATTTGATTGATCATGAAGCACAGTGTATAGCGTTGGTACTTCACCCTTTCATGCACAAATAATAACCCACATCAGGATTTTTTTTTTTTTTTTGGAATTAGTCTTGAGGCAGGAAAAAAAAAATTATAATGGCACTGGATGGCAACACACATAAGGGTCCATTGTAGTGGTCGATGCACAATTCCATTAGCCGGCCACGCATGTTTTTGGAATGTGGGAGGAAACCGGAGTACCCGAAGAAAACCCGCGCAGGCACGGGGAGAACATGCAAACTCCACACATGGAGGCCGGAGCCGGAATCGAACCCTGCACCTCTGCACTGTGAGGTCGACGCGCGAACCACTCGCCTACCAGAACTAAAAAAACATAATTATTCCTTCATTAACTCTAGTAACCGCTGTCCTTGAAAGGGTTAACGTCCAAACTCTAACCAAAGACGCAAGACTGACTAGCTCATGGAAATGGGCGGGCGGGGGGTGAATTCACCTTTCGATGCACCTTAAAACGTCCTCAGTAAATACAGTTGGAGATGTCTTCCCTTCAGGGATTCTGCATTCCATTTGTGGCTTTTTTTTTTTTGGACTTGGCATCCCACTTGCGCATCATTCCGCTTCTCTTCTCCATCCCAAGCATGCTACCTCGACGCGGAATATGTTGCCGAGCTTTCAAGTCGCATCCCCCCGTAGACTTGTTAATTGGGGAATGTGCAGAGTGAGCACTCGAACACTTAGAGAGCTCCCCTTCGTTGAGTGGTTCCTTTTTTTTTTTTTCTTCATTAAAGTTAGAGACGCAGGCAAATAGACTCTCAGTTAAGATGACTTGGTGGTAGCTTCTCGCAGCAACCTCATCCACTCCCCCCACCCCCGCGCCGCCCCCTTCCGCCCTCCTCACATCTCCAAAGGCCGGTCTTGTGTCGGTGTCTGGGGGGAATAGTGTGAATAGGAGACTTAAGCAGTACTGCGACAAGCTCGAGATGTGTCGCAATAAATGTCAAAGATTTATGATAAGACCACTCATCTATATTTATAACGTTCACCTCTGATTCAAAGGGGTATCATCCATAAAAGAAAGCGAGACGCTGAATTTGATATGCTCGAAGTGACTTTGATTTGAAATCCTCCTTGACACACCAGAGAGTTACAGTATGTGTTTTTTTTTTTTTTTTTTTTGGGTTTTGTTTTTGCAGTCGACACAAGAAAAAGGGGGCCTTATTTGCTCTTATTTGTCTCACGTTCAATGAGTCTGTATTATTTGTTGATCTTAACATGGACCATTCCGAGACAATGTGGATTCAATGTCAGCGAAAGGATTTTTTTAAATTGATTTATTGATGTATTTATTTATTTTAAGATCACCTTATGAGAACTCGAGAGGACAGTGCAGATTGGCCGTGTACTTTGGCATCATGGAGGACCGCCTCAAGACACTGGCAAAAAATACGATACATTTAAGGTCCTCGATGCAATGGCTCAAGAAACTTTTTTTTTTTTAAAGCATACTACACAGTGACAAACAAAATAAAAATACATCTGAAGCCCGAGGATTTTATTTTCTCCATCCACTTGATGAAATATAATTGAGTAAATTCAACACACCAATTTTTCAGTGTAGTGGATGCAAAATAAATGAATTAAAAATAGTTGCAATGCTTTTTCCCTCCGCCTCTTTTTCAGGCGACTAGGTACGCAAATTTGCAGGTTGCAAGGTTGCATGCGTCTTGTCCAAATTGCCTTCTTTCTTGACGAATCCAAAATGTCGCCAAACACCTGCTGAACGAAAGTTAGGGGGATCCACAGCTCGGCCTCTGCCGTGACACCTGTACTTTGAGTTCACCCCTCGCAGATTTTGTCCGACGTCGCGGTGATGATTTTAGATTGCAACGGAGGACACAAATGAATGGAAAACCATTTTATGAAGGGTAATCAAGCCAGTGGGTTTTTTTAATATGAATTACACCTAAGTGAAAATTGCTTAATATTTGAATTATGTTTTGACGCAAGCCGCCGTGATTTTTTTTTTTTGCATTGATGGATATTTTTCAGATCCCTACCACCTAACGACAGAATTCCTCCTTGGCGATTTCTCTCATTTGCCAGTATTTACTATTTACCCCACAGGAAGTTACTGATGTTTGACGCTTCCTTCAAGTTTGACATCATTTGCAGATTCAATTAAGCCTTTTGTCCTCCGACTTTCCCAAAGTCATCAGGATTTACACGCAGCCCTGCAATCCTCTATGCATGCATGGCGAAACTTCAGTTTGTCAGGCACTAAACGTAGGAGGATTAATTAGCGAGACAGACCTCCCTGTTTCAATGTGTTCAGTGAGTGTTTTTTTTTTTTTGGGGGGGGAGGCAGGGCATTTTGACTTTGTCTCAAACACCGCTGACTTTCAAAAACACTATGTCAACGTCGTGTGCTGTGAGTGTCCCGCATGCCTCGCGGAAAAAATAAATAAATAATAAAGAAAAGAAAGAAAAAGAAAAAAATAAATAATAACGAGCTTTCGCTGCACTCATTCAGTACCAGCCAATTCTAGACCAAGTCTGAAAAGACGTTTAAAAACGTCTTTGGGAGTGAATGAGTTTTTAATGACTTCTTAGTTCTTTGACAGATGTCAATCTGTGCTTCACTGGATTGTCGCCCCCCCCCCCCCCCCCACCGGCTTGATTGTGGACGCCCGACTGAAAGAGCTCACGCCTACCATGCCGGTCATCTTCATCAGGGCCATCCCAGTGGACAAACAGGACAACAGGAACATGTACCAGTGTCCGGTTTACAAGACCCGTCAAAGGGGGCCAACATATGTGTGGACCTTTAACCTGAAGACCAAAGAAAAGTCCTCCAAGTGGACCCTGGCCGGAGTTGCTTTGCTATTGCAGATCTAAGCAGGATTCCAGGAACGTTCACGTGAAGGTTGTGTGATGGTACAACAGGGTCAAGGATCGGCTCACGTTTGAACCGATGATACCGTATGCCGATTGTATTTTCTTTTATTTTGAAGAGAGAGAGGAAAAAAAAAAGTCAAGCATTTTATGACGTCTCTCGGATAGCTTTTCATGGATCTACCGCATTGCAAAGGATCAATAAATAGATAAGACTGGCGGCGGTATGCTAAACTGAAATGATGCAGTTCTTATGAGTTTATTCTCCATCTTCAGCACATTCGTTGAAATTCAGCTCACTTCAAATGGGTTTCCCCAAGTCACACTTACATATACTTTCTCTTTTACTTGTCTTTAGCTTCCATCACTCTTCATGAACATGAGGTTCCCTGAACTGGTCGCCGGCTAATCGCAGTCCACACATTGACGAACAACCATTTGCGCTCACACTCACACCGAGGGACAATTTCGAGTGTTCCATTAACCTGACATGCATGTTTTAGGGATGTGGATGGAAACCGGAATACCCGGAGAAAACCCGGCGGAATCGAACTCTGCACTTCTGCACTGTGAGGCCGACACTCAAACCAGTCGATCACCGGGCCGCCGGATGTAATTTAGTACAGTTTAATTCCCCATCATTCACCACCTACCAGGGTAATATCCCAATTGAACCTCCTCTGAGATCAAACAGACACTACGCCACTCTTGCCGTTCAGTCATTCCTTCCTAGATTACAATTAAAGAAAAGGCAATCTGTAAAGCAGCTCTTGCAGATAGATCCCTTTACGGTAGATACTGGCACATTTTTCAATTTCTTTTTTCATCCGTCATTTAGAGAGCCTTTAATAATGCACTCAGAGACAAGTAGGTGTGAAGGGGGTGGAACGGATGATACATGAGTGAGAATTTAAGTTAGAACAACCGTAACACAGATTCAAGCGGCATTTTACGGTTGACCTTCCGAATGTGAGGAGAACAGACCTTTTTCATCATGTTTTTAAACGATAGGAGGATGTTCACATGGCAGAAATTGATTGACTTCAGTCCCACTGAAAACAATGACGAAAAGTTGTTGTTTTTTGGGTTGATGGCAGAGATGGACATTCTGTCCCTGGGAGGGAACGGTCCACCTGGAGCCGTGTCTGCCACTTAGGATGCATCCAGTCATTAAGACGGTCGACAATTATTGCGATGCACATCTGCACTGTCCTACAGTGAAGCAAAATGGCTGCTTGGTGTGGGGAAAAAAACAAAACAAAAAAAAAAACTAGCCAACAAAATAACGAGACCACTGCCTGCAAGTAATTGCTTTAAAGGTGATTAAGGATATAAGGTAAAAAAAAAAAAAAAAAAAAATCACCCAGTCCACACGTGCAGCCAAAGTGCTGTTTCAACGGGAGCTTTCATTCTTCCCTGCGGCTGCCTGCACTTGCAGCACAAAGATGACAAGGCCTTTCTCGGTGGAAATGGATGTTGCTGTCCACACAGTTAATGTGTTGCGTATACCATTCTTCTTTACGGGCTTTGATCTTACACACTTAAAGAGGAAATAGCAGATGCCAGATCTGCGAGAGAGGGGGGGGGGGGGGGCGGGGCGAGTCAACTATTTCCAATATGACAAATTGATCATCCATGCCCACACAAGTGAAAACCAAAACCACCAAGACACTCAGAGACTCATCATCACCAGACAGGTAGTGTTGGGCGAACTCTAAATGATAACAAACAATGGCAACAACATCCGAGTAGAGTCATTTCAACAAAAAGGGCGACGGAAAATGGTCTTGTCAAATTACGGTAACTACTACGGACTTTTTTTTTTTAACACAAGAAGAATTATCTTGTCTTCCAAAAACATTGAAAAAAAACTTGGGCATTTTTTTTTTTTTAAATTATTATTATTATTTTTCCTTTCACCAATTTTGCAAATTTGACACATTTTGTCACCTCACTTCATGTTTTTGATGCAATTGATTCTGAACTCTGCAAGCAGTATTGGAAAGAAGGAAAATACTGGCTGTTACATCTGGTGAGGCACCGCCTCCCGCCCCTGATACATGGTCATCTCTGACGAGTGTGTGGGCGGTGGGGGCATCTTCAGCATCCGTATACGTGTGAGACATCTGGTGGTTGCTTGGTTACTGGTCGGTCCAGTGAAGCTAATAATGTGAATCCTTTCGAGAGACATTGCTGTTTAGAATGCGCCCTCACCAAATTCAAATGTCTACATGAGGATGATCGCACTGATTCAGCATCCACACGTACATGTTCAACTTCACTCAACATTTTCATTTCTACCTTTTATTACACCTGGATATGCTGTCGGCTGAACGTAGAGTCCGAGGTGTTTCAGAATGGATTCCAGTACTGGTGGTCACATATAATACGGTATTTTTCAAACCCAACGTTTTCCCCTTTAATGTAATTATCGTAGAGTATATAAATTCGACCTCAGCTGTCTGCAGCCAGGGAAGATTTTTTTTTTCTTCATGCTTTTATATGAATCTCGTCTGTTAGGTCGTCAAGCAATGAGCAGAGTGAGTGAATGACTCATCACTGGTGGTGAGTAATGAATCTTGGAGTACGCCGTGAAGGCCAAACAGCAGAGCTTTCATTGGAAGAGTCTGACGTCATGCCCTCGCCGAAGAAAGCAACACAGTTGAAATGTGGACTCCCACGGCCAGAACTTCCACGGCGTTTACGTCGTTCAGTGCACGAGAAGAGGCGAGTGTTGTGGCTGGATAAATCATGGCCGCTTCAACGTGACAGCACCTCTGCTGAGAATGTCCTGAGCATCTGACACTTCCTGGCCGAGATAAACACTGACTGGCATTTTCAGACCCTTCTTCACCCCGCCATGTGAAAAAAAAATGGATTGAATGCCGGAATTCTTTAAAAAAAACGTGAAAAACTGTCAATTTTGAACGAGTTATGCACGGTTCAACTTTGAGAGTGGTTGTCTCCCAACGCGAAGGTTGTAGGTTTGACCCTCAACCCTTGTGACCCTGTCGACGAGTCCTTGACCAAGGTACCGAACCGCTACCTGCTGCTGAAGCTGCCTTATCAGAAGTTGAATGAGGAAATAAACAGTGTTAAAAGAGCTTCAGTACCTTGTAGGTAAAAAAAAAAAAAAAGCCCTACAAAAGCGAGAGCCCATTTTCCATTTGAAATTTGTAGCGCTCGATAACTTGAAACGCAGAACACGGGGAAGATTTAGAGATTAATTCCTCCCTCTCTGAGAAACCACTCGTGAGGTGTCCAACACGCTTCCCAAACCCCGCACCGCATTCAGCAAGGGCAGTTCACGCTCTGCATGCAGTCGTTTTCATAATAGCGCGTGGAAAGTGTTGATAAATGACACAATCTTGCCTCAGTTTGTAACGCTAAGTCATTCTCCTCACTGCTCCCACCCAGGAGAGTTGACGGTGACAGAAGGGGTGGATTAGGCCACAATATTTGGGGACAATACACCCAGCCTGGCGTTTCGCTAGTCTAGTGACTGCAGTACCGCTGTGCAGACCAGCAGCGCAAGGAGCTGCTTTTGGCTGCGACTGGTGCCGGAGGTAATTAGCTTTGACAGAGCTGATGAGTTGCTAATTAAATGTTTATCCGAATCTGGCATCTGTCGTAAAACAAATGTCTGTTAGCGGTCTACAATCAGTGGATTATCACAAATAGCTTGGTTGTGGGGGCTGCACGTGGGGAGATAAACTGGAAGACAACGGTGGATTCGGAGTACTTTTTAGGCACTCCGGCAGAAACTAGTTTGACGGCAAAAGCACTTACCGCGTGCATGTTGGCAGATTCCCGTGCCTCATAATGGCACTGATTATCTTTTGGTCCACATTCAAGCTGACATTCACTGGAGGTTTTACGTTTGGCTGTTGCAATTATTTTTATCTTGGAGTTTTGACATCTTCGTGCATTTGAATGTTAAATGCATGAAGATGTCATATGAACTCAGGACTCAAAATGTGTCGAAAGAAAGTGCAATAAAGTTTGTGCTTGTTGTGTCTTTGTCCTGTTGCGCAGGTGACCTCACTCTGTTGGTCCTGCTGTTTCCGTGGAGGCAGCAACTACTGGCCTCCACATGTTAAACCAGTCATGGGGACAGCTATGAATGAATTTCCGGTACCACACTTGTATGGCACCCATATGCCTAATTTTTTATTGATGTATTTATTTATTGGGGCAGCCCGGTGGGACAGTGGTTAGCGCGTCGACCTCACAGTGCAGAGGTCGTGGGTTCGATCCTGGCTCCGGCCTTCCTGTGTGGAGTTTTCATGTTCTCCCGGGCCTGCGTGGGTTTTCTCTGGGAACTCCACTTTCCTCCCGCATTCCAAAAACGTGCAAGGCAGGCTGATTGAACACTCCAAATTGCCCCTAGGTGTGAGTGTGAGCGCGAATGTTTGTTCGTCTCTGTGTGCCCTGCGATTGACTGGCAACCGGTTCAGGGTGTCCCCCTCCTACAGCCCGAAGACAGCTGGGATAGGCTCCAGAACCCCCCGCAACTCTTGTGAGGATAAGCGGATTGGAAAATGGATGGATGGATGGATGGATGGATTAATTTATTGGTCTACAAAAGAATAAACCCATCGGTGATTGATGACATTCTGGAAATGAAAATCAGTGAGATCGGCAATAATATCAACCACTGCATCATGAACTCATTTCATAGAATGTGTTGTGAATTACTATCGAATATGTTGGGGAACGATGGCCAAATGAGCAGTGCACCCTTGCTGCAACTCAGTGGGGGCATCCAAATTGAAACTTTCATTGTCCGTCATCTGTGACCTCCCTGGCCAACTTTGTCCATGGCGGTCTGCTGACAGTTCCTTCAAAACATAATTTGCCTGCTCCAACCAATTGCCTGGACTCCAACGAATCGGTTTCTTCTTTGATTGCTAGCAAATAATGGCAGCTGTGTTCACACCCACAACGGTGCAGGAGGCCGTTTTTATCTTCGCCAAGCGGCGTATATCTGCGAAAACAACCAAACTTTGTCGTACCCGCCCCTTGCACAGCATGAAAAGAGAGCCCTTACAGTGTTTCTCAGTTGCTTTGGTCCATTTCTTTGATCAGTATTGGATTTCTTAAAACTGCTCCGGCACATCAAAAAAATTCTGTTGCTCATTTCGTGGTCCATGCAAATGATTAATTCTCTGCTGCTTCGACATGATCAGTTGCTCACGTCATGTTGGTCTAAATTTATTCTAAAGGCTCTCTGTTGAATTGTGACAATCTTTGGCTCAACAAATTGTCACATGTTAGCCCAACCAGTTTTCTGAAGTAGCTCATAGAAACTGAAGATATTTGTGATGTGGATGAGAATGCCCAACGAAAGTAGGAAGGCCACACTGTCATTCCAAAAGTGTTTTATGAACAATTTTCCCAAAGGACATTCACGGTTCTACTTTTTTTTCATGATTAGTTTTTGTCTTTGCAGTGTTGAGTTTCCATTTCTGTATCATAATGAGTTGGTTTGTCAACATATTATAGCGTCTACAGCAAATAATCAGGGGGCGTAAACCGTTTTCAACACTTTAGAATGATCAATAAGTTGTAAAAAAAAAAATAATAATCATAATATTAATAATAATAATACCCACCTCTATGGACTGACCAACTTTTTGTACTGCACTGACATGTTCATTGAATATTTACTTTTGAGAGTTTTACGACGATAACGCTTAACAAATTAAATTTCTGGGGTTTTTTTTTTTTGGCATGATCACTTTTTTTTTTTCCTTTTTTCCCTTTTTTTTGACTTAACATCACAGGAACTAAAACAAAGAATGATGTGGTAATTCTGAAGTCTGAAGAAAATTTTGAAGTTTAGTATCAGTTAAAAATTTTGGACAACTTTAGAGATTTTTTTTTTCTCAAATAGAACCTTCATGAGGTATGAAATTCTCTCTCCTTTCCCTCCATGGCTCCACCCACAAAACAAGCTGATTGGCAAATGGGCAGCATGTGTGCAACAAGGAAATCCTGCTGACCAAGTCAACTGCAATGCAAACTATCACAATAGCAAGACACTGTGCAAAGAGGAAATCACTGTTCAAAAGAAAAATAATGCTATGAAGTAGGTATTAAAATCATTTGGCTATTTTTCAGGTTGTCTCATTCAAACTGCCCAAAAAAAAAAAAAGAGATCAAGTGCTGATTTGCATCAGAAAACATGACAGCAGATGGTTTGATTTATTGACTGAAAAAGGCCGTGCTCCTAACTGTCCACTTGGTTTATGTTCTAGTGAGACCTCAACTCTTGGATATGACAGCTGCAGCGCTCCAAGTCAACTCAACAGTTTGGAAAATGTTCATGGGTGAGTCTGTTCCTCCCTGCTGGCTAGATGCTAAATATGGTTAAATATTAGCTGCTGTTCTCAAGAAGTGAACTCTCATTCTTGCTAAACTCACTCAAAATCAAAGCTCCAAATAAATAGTGAACGCGATCGCCTCACATGTAGTTCAGTCATCTCGTGCCAAAATTTCATGGATCGATTTCACAGTTGAAGTATGTCTCTTTCGCCTTTTTTTTTTATCTTGGAGCAAAAATTTCATGGAATGTTAATATGCTACCAAACGTGCTAGAAACACAAAACTGTATTTCCACAGCTATCACTGTTCCAGTATGTTACACATGTATGCATAATATTTTCACGTTCAAGTATAGACTGGTCCAGAACGTGCAATCAAGGACACATACACGGCGAGTTCACTTAACACTGTTTATTAGTTCTGGTTTGCAGTGAACTGCATTTTACTGAGATGTGTTTCAAATGTGTTGACTCCTTTAGACACCAAAGAGAGTCAAAAATCAGAATGTAACAATGACATTCCATCAATCAATCTATCTATCTATCTATCTATCTATCTATCTATCTATCTATCTACTGTATGTATCTATCGATATGGGTGTGCATATAATGTGTGATCAGCCTTTGACAATCATGACATGTTTTTGCGGTGCAATGAAAAATATGACGGTCCAGTAACATTTCTGAGAAGCCAGTTTATCCATTGCAGCATGTTAGTCCGTGTGCGGCCCTAAATCGCTTTGTGTGTTGGTGAGTCATCAACAGTGAATTTGTATTTTTTTTTTTGGGGGGGGCGCTATGTTGCTCTTCAGTCGCGTTCAGTCACGTCGCTTGCTATACAACGGACCTTATCTTGTACTACGTATCATTCGATTGCACAGTTAGTCATTTTATTGTCACTGGTCAGTGAAAATGCATGTGTGTGTGTGTGTGTGTTATCTATCCATAATAATTGCTCCCAATGCCGAACAGATTCTCATGAGCCGCATAGTTGCTATTCGTGTTCATGTCATGAGAATGGATAACAGCTGTCAGCAAAGCATTATATGGATGCCTGACATTAAAAGTACATTCAGTTCAATTGTCGTCACCAATATTTCTATCATGACTTGTAAGCGCTAATTATACTCACTTTTTGTTTTTGTTTTTTTTTTAGTTATATCATCCGCTCAAAATGTTTTATCTCAAGTTGTCACTCGTTGTTGTTTTATGGATTTTTTTTTTTTAAACCAAATTGAAACTCACTTCTCGTCTTAAATACAAAGTAAAAGTGCAATTTATGTCCTGACACTAAAGTATGGGAGGTTTCTGCCCTCCCAGAATTCGCCTTTGGACACCCGTGCTCTGCTAATATTTAAGGGTCCCAGCTGTCATTCTCCCCAGAGTGATATAGTGTGTACTGTATCTCATAAAGAAGCACTGTAGAGAATACATGACATTTCTTATTTCTTACTTGCACTTAAATCCTCCAGTGTTTGTATTTTACTTTTCTTCAGTTCAGGTTCTGAGCAATTTATTCACCCATGCAGCTGAAATGCCAAATGTCGTGCATTACAGTATATGCAATATAACTAGTCTTGTTCTTATGGACGCCGGATGTTAAAGTTCAGTTGAATTATAGAGACTTATGACTTCTGTCTGTGCTTCTCATTTCAACTAAAACAATTTAATAGGCTCATCCATAGTCACCGAAGGGGAGGGGGACTAAAAAAAATAAAGAAAAGGGAGGGCACAAGTCCCAGTTCAATGTTTGAGGCGTGACATTTTCATGCCACTAGGAAAGGTCAAGAACAGGAAGCTTTGGTTATTGTTCAAGACTATACATTGTAAAAAAAAATCATAATAATAGCCTTAAGTCATTCATAATTTATTTTTTTTAGTAGTAGGTTCAGTATTTATTTTGCATTTATAGAGATATATATTTCAAAACTCAGCTTGGCCCATTGTCACTAGAAATGCCAATAAAACGTGACTCAAGAAGGATGTGACTGAATTTCACATTTCACAAGTATGAACGTACATCTAACACCCCCCGAACGATGTTTGCACGCCACATTGTGTCATCCTCAAGTGTAACGCGGTGCGAATAAAAACACACGACGCAGGCAGTCTCCAATATTGAATGTTTAGAAAAATATGAATGTTTATTTGTCCCTACAAGCATTTATAACCATAATGTTCAACTTCAGTGATGTCAATGGAACACGGTACACATCCAAGTATGAACAGTGGTATACATTTTTTTTATTTTTTTATTTTTAATCTTCACACCGTCGTTCCTTTTCTCCCTACAAACAGATTTGTAAAGACACACACACACAGTATAGTAGTTGTTTTTTTTTTCCTGTCAGATACTCGGTTAAGTGGGTTTCTAATCTCAACGCACAAAACAGTGATAATTTGTCGTTGTTCTTTGAAACAATCTATTTCCAACAGACAGTCTAATACGAAGTCCATTCAGTTCAGATCTGTCCAGGATAATGTTTCTACTATAGCGTATTTACAATCATCTACTTGAAGCAAAAGAAACCAAGAAATATTTATATATCATTGTCATGGTTTGCTTGCAAAAAAAAAAAAAAAATTGCTAGCCATTACTAAAAACTCTGAAACAATATAATCCCCCCCACCCTTTTAATAATTGTGCTTTGTAACCCACATAACCACTTAACGTTTTTCGAAATGGAACATCTGTTAGAAGCACCAGAGAGTGCAACTAACACCCATTTCAGCTTCTCGCTTCGAGATGCTTTATAGTTATGAGTAGGACAGAGAGTGCACAAATGTTTTTTGTTTTTGTTTTTTTTTAATCAATTTATTTATATATTTATAAACGTTATTTATTACAGGTTCATCCAAGCTCTTCATCTGTGTTGCACATCAGAAATCGAGGAGAAATTTGGACCGTGGGTTTCTCTGCGTAAAGCCCTTTCAATTTTGCCAGAAAAGCTCATGGATAGATCAAAGTCGATTGGTTGGACAATGGAGGGGGTGGGGTTGGGGGCGGGCGGTTGGGTGTGGGGGGAGGACCTGGGGAGAGGGCCTTGGTTGGGGGTTTGTTAAATTGGGGCGGGGTCAGTCGAGACTTCAAAAGACCTGGAATGAGGCCGAGGCCATGAATAAGAGAATGAAGCGAGAAGGGAACGATGGTTGTCCTACGAAAGTGACCATTTTTTTTTACCTCCCAAATTAAAAAAATCTGAATGTCGTGTACAGTGTAGCTCATTTTACCGGTCTCTCACTTTAAGCTAGTGGATGTTCTTGGTCCTGGGACATGGGTCAAAATAAAATGAAATCACTACTGTCCTACTCTTGAGTAGTGAGCACATCGGCCTACCAAAGCCAATGACACGATGTTGTTTTTTTGTCTGTGCAGTTCAGGCACTCCGTGGTTGCCGTTTTTACACTGTCACCTCAGTCTTGCTTCCTGTGCGGTAGTGCTGTGGATGTTGTTGTTGTTGTTGCTGGTGATGCTGCGGGGCGTAGTGGAGCTGCTCCACGGTGTGAGTCCGTCTGGCGGCAAACGCCTGCCGCTTGGATACAGTCTGGTTCATTGCTAAAGTGTTGGAGTGCGGGGCTGCTACCGCTCCGGGAGTTCCAGCGTTGACTCCGCCGCCGCCGTTGTTCGAGGCACTGGGATGGGAGTGCATTTTGGTCATCTTGTAGCGATCCATAAGAGGCGTGGTGGGTATGAAGACGTCCGTGTGCGAGATGGCACGCGACATGGACTTGTCGCTTCCATAAAACCCGCCGGAAATACTACTGACCATGCCGCGCTTCAGCGACATCATCAGCTTGTCCGGCGAGAGCAAAGGATCCTGGGATAGAAGGCGGTCTTGTGAGTACAGGCGATCTTGTGAGTAGAGTCGTTCTTGAGAGTAGTGGCGGTCTTTTGAGTAGAGGTGATCCTGTGAGAGAAGTCGGTCCTTGGAGTACATGCAGTCTTTGGTGTACAGGCGGTCTTGGGAAGTATAGCGGTCCTGTGGAAGTAGGCGTTCCTGGGATCGAAGCCGTTCGGCAGATAGCAGCTGTTCGTCCGAGAGGATTCGGCCTCCGTAAGGGGACATACCATTAGACGACGTGTTGTAATCCTGCTGCGGGGCGCTCTGTGGGGACAGGACCCGATCCTGGGACATGGCTCTCTGGACGCGGCGGGGTCTCTGCCTTTGCTGGGACTGCTGTTGGGAGGACTGTGACTGGGAAGTTGCCTGCATGATGGAAGACTGTGGAACCTGACTTTGAAGCTGCTGTTGTTCCCGATGCTGGAGAACAGAATAAGGGTGGGGCAGAGCAGAAAAAAAAGGAAATTGTTAAGTCTCCCTGTGATTGGCTGGCAGCCAGTTCAGGGTATCCCCCCGCCTACCGCCCAAAGACAGTTCCGATAGGCTCCGGCATGCGACCCTTGTGAGGATCAGCGGATCAGAAAATGGATGGATGGATGTTAGGTCCTGTCTTCCCTTATTAATGTGTGGCAATTTTCTAGGGTTGACGATCCGTTCACTCCACATTCACCTACTGATGATGTCACCATAGGGCGTTACTGTATTTATCGAAGAGGGACTGATTCCGACCTAGCCGTGTTCTAATCAGTACAACCTGATGTGGTTTGTATTTACTTTGTGGGGTAACTCGACAGACGAAGTGTCTCCGATTTGTAAGCTGCTTGACAGCCCTACCAGCGCCAATAATATCAACAAAAATTGCAGAGAAGGAATGACAACCGACGGTTAAGCCAGAATGATTTTTCAAGACTCAAATATAAGACTGATCATTTGTCTTTCAGAAGCAAACCAGCATCTGTTGACCCACCTGGTCTTGAGTGATTTTGAGAACGTGCAAGGGAAGAGTGCCTCGCGCTGCCAGGTCAGGCAGGTGTCGCTTACGAGAGTAGTAGTCCTCAACTTCTTTATCTGCTGCAGAGGAAAATGAGGAAGGGATAAAAACAGATGCAAGAGCTTGAAGCGGAGCTATAGAGAGAATCTCTTCCTGTTGGAAGGCAAGGGGAAGAATGCAGATCAAGAGCAAGACATTTCTCATTCCGGAGAACAGACTGTCACCTTTACAAGATCATTGTGTCGAGAGGAGACTGAGAATTGCAGTCAGATTATATTACATGCCAGGCACATATAATGTCCACACGTCCAGATTGGGAAGCCTAAAGGAGGCTCTGGCTGGAGGGGGATGGGGGGTGGGGGTAGGGAGGGGATTTCTCAAAGGTCACACAAAAGGAGATTCAGACATTGTCACATCACATCGACACGTGGCATCCAGTACATGCTAAAGAGCATCGAGTAACACCGCACAAATGACGGGTGTGTATTTTGAATAGATGTCATGTACATAATTAACATGCATTCAGGCTAGAATATATATTATTTTCCAGACACTCATGGAGAAAGCAACAACTTGCCACGTGAAACCATGCAAAGAAATGCAAATTAGATTTTTTTTTTTTTTTTTAACTGATACTGATACGGACAACCATTCACCCTCACATTAACGCCGACGGACAATTTACAGTGTTCATTTAACCAAACGTATGTTTTTGGAATTTGAGATGAAGCAAGTGCATTCAAAGCCGAAACTGGCCTCATTTTAAGGTATCGCATACTTGTGGCGTGTACCAGCCACTACTAAAGGCAGGAAAAAAAATGATAATAATAAATAAATATAATAATAAATAAAAAAGTTTTCCTCAGTGTTATTTGGCTTGATAATTGCGGCAGTCAGACACATGGACAAATCATCATCTGCGTCCCAAAGAGGTCTTTCTTCGCAATTTTGCATCATATTGTTCAATGAAATTTTTATGTCCCAAAGTAGCTGGGGGGTATCTGTACTCGGGATTGTATTCAAAAAATTGTAAAAAAAAAAAACAGTGGAATCAAACATCCCTAATAACTGTTGCGATCATTTTGACATCAATAGTTACACAAAATGTCATTGTTTGTTCTTCCTGAGCGCTTGACACAAATGTGAAATCATCTCATGTCGTAAGAGGTAGGGTGTCATTCAAAACCGGAGCAAACGTTAGCCTTCTTGAGAATTCATACGCGACCTTTCAGTCTGAGCGATACGCGCGAGGCGCTGTCGATGCCACCCGTCAAGGCTACTCGCCGCCAAAATCCCCTTCAGCGGCAAGTCCCGCCTTCTTTCCGCAAATCGATGCCTCATGACAAAATGTTCCTTTTCCGCGGTATAATGCACGCATTGCACACTCATCAACCGTATTACCATCGTTGAAAATAAGAACTTGTAATGTTCAGGTACACTGCCTGGCGGAGCACCAATTCTTTTTCTTCCATTCGATCGCAATTTGCATTCATAAGCATTCCCTGAAAAAAAAGGGCTCATCTCATTTCCCCTTCAGCACCATCCATTGCGACGCTGACGGTAGTTATGTCACAATAGCAGCAACCGTAGAACCTTTTGGGCCTTTCTGGTGAAGACTGATGGACCATCCCTTATATTTTCCAATTATCAGCTTTTAACCCTTTCATGCACAAATAATGACAACCTGATAAGCTGTCCCTGAAAGGGTTAAACGCGCTTCTTCTCTTCATATTCTATATTTTGTTCGACTGTAGTATTATGACCCATCAAAACAAAAGTGTTTATTCTCCAAAACGGCAAAAGGCAGTGCATCTCCCCCCCCCCCCTTGTCACTTTGCCGTACTCGTGCTTGTCAGCTAAAGAATGCGTGAGCCGTACCGAGTGAGACCTGATGGAAGGCATTGTCGATGGCTCCCCTCGCTTTGACTGCGAGCCAGCAAGTGAAGTGAGGCGGGAATGATGAAATTACACAAGCCTTAAGGAATATTTGTGTGTTCCACTTTAAGAATGTCATGAGATGAGACCGCATTGTGCTCCAGAAAGCCACCAAACGCACCATGAAATCAATACCGAGCCCGGGAAAGGCGTTAGACAGCGACAACGTATGATTCAAGTGCAGTTGTGGAACACAGAAAGAAGAGAATGAGTCATTGTTTTGTTTTGTTTTTTTTGGGGGGGGGGGGGGGATACATCGGCGGATTAAATTGACTGCACAGTGGAAACTCTAAAGTTGAATGGCCGTGAGGTTGTACGATTTGGAATTTGAAGCATCTGAACCCTTTCATGCACTTTGTAACCTGACAAAATGATAAGATGTCGACTGTCGTTCCCGCTGTCCCTGAAAGGGTTCATGTGTGACGTGAGCTTTTCTTGTCCTCGCAAATGTCCACTGCGTCAAACTAAATAGCGCGCTGCAATCCAGTAGACGACATTGCAATTGCATTCCAAAATAAATGTGAGGCAGAAAATAAATGAAAGTTATCAATTGCGCAAAAAAAATAAAAATATATTGCAACAAAAAGGGAATGCAAATCCAGAATATGGATTTGAGGGTGGGGGGGCTACCGTCGATCTTTTTACACTTGACACTTGTGACAATCTTTGATTAAAAAGCATCTGTGGCACGCGCGATTGTTTTGAAATCCAAATAAATCAGAAATCAATTTGGGAGCCGATTGCATTTGACTTCAGAGGTTCCACTGTCTTCACAAATGGTAATTTCAAGATTTTTTTTTTCCCCCTGATTATAGTTTTGGTCTAGTAGTTTTGTAGTCGCTAAAGTTATCTCACAAGGGGACTGGCATGATAGCCTTAAAAAAAAAATGTGATCAAGGTCGCATCGATCAAGGCACCCAAAAATAATCATGCATCAGGGGATCCTGCTCTTGCATCAGTGCTGTGAACTTGGACCTACTCAGTTTCTTCAGGGACGAGAAGCGGCTGAGGTCGGCTTTGACGGCCGCCTCCTCGCTAAAGTTATCTCACAAGGGGACTGACATGATAGCCTTGAAAAAACATGTGGTCAAGGTCGCATCGATCAAGGCACCCAAAAATAATCATGCATCAGGGGATCCTGCTCTTGCATCAGTGCTGTGAACTTGGACCTACTCAGTTTCTTCAGGGACGAGAAGCGGCTGAGGTCGGCTTTGACGGCCGCCTCGTAGGAGGGCGGCAGGTGGGACAGACTCTGGAAGGAGCGTGAAAAAGACAGGTCGTAGGGCTCCGTCTGCGAGGTCAGGATGCCACTTATCCGATTGTTGTCTAGAGACACGTACATACATATACAGACACATAGAAAGGAGGAAAAAAAAAAGAAATGGGCAGTTCTGGCTTCTCCTTCCCACCTTTCTCCCCGTTTGGAAAAAAAAAAAAGCGTAAAAGCACGATGGAAGACCACCCGCTGAGACGGAAAAAAGCAAAGATTGAACTTGGGAGTTCTTAGTCCTTCAAATATTTCCCGGAGGCAGATTTGCTGTAAACCAATCTTGCAGGATTCCGTGGCATGAAAAAATTTTCGACTCAGTGGTTCGATTTCTGCAGAAGTCAGTGAGCAGAGGAAGTGCCTGTCATATATTTTGCATTTCGTTTGGCCCTGGATGCCGCAACTAATTATGGCAAAAAATTAATTGTCCTCGGTAATTTTAGTTCTGCACAAATGCTCTGGCTGACGATTAAAAACTCATTCAGTAGCAGCCAATTCTGGACCAAGTCTGAAAAGACGTTTAAAAACGTCTTTGGGGGTGAATGAGTTTGTTTTTTTTCCGTCGAGTTAATGGCGAAGTGAAATTTAACCCAGAGCATGATACAAATACAATCCGCTGGATTGTTTCCGTTAGACCTCTCATCTTTACGACAGTCCAACCTCGTTACGCACTTCGAGGGACCGAACCGAATCCGTACGTTTAAAACTGTAGTTCGTTGTCACCATTTCCAATAAAATGGCCGCCACTACGATGTATAATACGGTATGAACATTTCTAGATGTAAAAGCAAGATCATGTAATACAGTATAAGCATGTCAGTTACTATATATGAAGACAAAATGATTTTATAAGATATTCGGTCAGCAAGTGAAAAGTGCCTTCTCCAGTTCAAGATGTGCCGCACGCCGAAGACGTTTCCGATCGTCTTTCAATCAGTTGGCCTGGAATTCCGCCATGTTTTTATTGCCATGACGGATGATTGTCGAAATTCTCAACCTTGCGAATTCGTAGTCCCGTGCTGAGCTTCGTCCGGGAGACTCCCCTTTCCAAAGTGAGAGACACTTTCAGCCTTCACAGACGGCGAGATTTGCTTCCGTTTACCGGATGTGTTTTCAGACCGTGTGCTCAGGACCGCGCGATCGATCCGGAGTGTTGCTCAGCAACTCAGGGGAATCGGAATCCCCCGCTGTGCATTTTGTTCATAATAAGCAAGGTCGTGGCAGCAGTTAGCTTCCCAACCGTTCATTGTAACGAAGGCCTTTTCACTATTTCGTGTGAAAAATCTGGTCGTTATAATGACGTTTACATTTTAAAGGTGTTCGTTGTAAGCAAAATCGGGCTTCAAGATGGCGCCGCGAGAGTGGCTGCCTTTACGGCAGCTCCGATGCTTTTTGTTCTTCTACTTTCATCCTTTCATAACTTTGCTGCTGTGAATTGGAAATTTCTCAATTGTGAGACGAATAAAGGTTTTCTTATTCTTATAGATTGACTTAAAAATGTCTCTCAATCCAGATGCTTTTCTTGTGTGCGGCAACTTGGAAAAAATGGAGCGATTTCAAACCCAATGAGTTAAAAAGTCTTGATGATCAAGTTAGACAACGGCGCAATCCAAAAACACTTTTTCGGCCGCCCGCAACTGCACTTCGGGGGTGTGTCAGCATGCTGCGGCCAATTCGTAGAAGTGAAGTCTTGTTTCATTTTCAAATCGTCTTGAAAAAGAAAGGGCGAAAGACGGCTTTTTAGAACAATTTTGTCCGTCTCGATGAGCGCCAATATTGTTGCTTTGATGGGACTGGAGTGACAGCGTGTCTCAAACCTTGCGTGGCTATCTCAGCTTAACACCTGCCTTCGCCGTCGACTTATTCAAGGGAGCTGTTTCTTTGCCCGGACTTCAGCTAAAGCACTAAATTTAAGCGACTCTGCCTCGGGGAACGGCTGCAGGTTTAAAAAACTCCAACTGGCTTTCGTGACAGCAAAGTTAGGGCGGTGGGGAGGGTCATACTTTATGAATATCGGGGGACTCGGTGGGTGTTTGGCGCAGGACGGACTTGACAAGTGACGGGATTTGATGGGCGCAAGCAGTGTCTAACAGATTGGGAAAAGAAAAACAGAGACGGAGACAAGACCGCAAACAACAGATGTATGCCTGGAGAGTGACCCCTGCTTGTGACAGCGCAAGCGAGTTGTCATCGGGAACAGTGTCGGGCAGCTACGCCTGCTCTGGCTCGACGTGGTGCGATGCGATGCCGCGAAGACGGCAAGGGGGGAGGCTCCTTCTACTTTCACCTTTCTACTTTATCGCGCCTTCCCGCGAATTGCGCTCGTTTTGCGATCCTCCCCGCGTCTCCCATCCGCCGCAGACTTCCACGCTCCGTCAATTTTTATCGAGCCAACCATGCCGCCACCCACTTTTGCTCCTTAATTCTTACTCGTCCGTTTACAAGGCCCCCCGCTCTCATTTTCTCACTCGCTCGTGCTCTATCTGGTTCTCCCATGTGAGCCTGCAAGTCTGTGGAGCGGCGCAGAGCTGCAGTCATGGGCGCAGCGCCCCCCCCCCCCCACCCCCCCCCCCCCCCCCACCCAAAACGCCCAC